ATGTACTGATGTTACCACGTCTTATATGACTTTGTATGGAGATATATATATATATATACGATGAGTATGTATGTGGTGTATATAATAGTTAGCATCCACCGACACTGGTATTAGAGTATCATTTCATTCATTGACCAAACAGGTACGGTAACGAGCACTTCAGCCACGAAAATGAGAGCATCTATGAATCGTACAACCCCATATTTAACTCATGAAATAAATTTCTCTAAATAATTTAACCACACACGACTCTACCACGTCTCTTATAGTACATTACAAAATTTAATATTTCTAGAGTTTTGGCCGAATGTTTAACTACTACTTTGGTAATGTTTTATGTTTACATACTATGGATCAAAAATAGTGATAATAATTATTATTGTACATGCACAAAAGAGATTATAATAGTTAAAAACAAAATACAACGAGCCTGTTTGATTCAGTTATTTCAAAAGAAATTTTTTATGACGTTAAAAAATAATTATTATTTTTGTAAACTTAGTAATTAGTATTAACTTCATAGCTAACTGCAGATCTAACACTCTCTAGTTTTTGTTCTTTTGGTAGCTTGAAGTTCATACTGTTTCATGAGCATTATCATATGTTATTATTGTACAGTAATACATTCAAATTAATTCACTTTCAAATTTTCCTGCATATACACAGGGACGGAATCAGAAAATTGTGTAAGAGGGGGCGATAATATAATTTTTTTATAATTATAGTGGGGACGGTTGTGTAATTTTATAAGTATTTATATTAAAATAAATAAAATAATAGGATATATTACTTGTACATAGATACGTTCTTGCATATACATATATACCTATATATATATATATATAGACATCTGACTGATATAGGTTCTTATTAGATGACTCACCTTCCAACTTAAATATATACAAGAAATATATACTTCTCTTAAGTAATCTATTTCTCCGTCATAAGTATCAATCAGACAATCACTTATATTGACTCTGATTCAACACCTATACAAATTAGTGATCGTCTGATTGATACTTATGACGGAGAAATAGATTACTTAAGAGAAGTACATATTTCTGGTATATATTTAAGTTGGAAGGTGAGTCATCTAATAAGAACCTATATCAGTCAGATGTTGAAGACTTGCAGTCTCATAGAAGGTTGGGCATTTGTCTGTATGTTCTATAGCAATATATATATAGCAATTTATATTCAATATCTATACAAGGATGGCAGACTTGGGACAATTAATGAAGGAAATATTGTTTTTAAACTAGGACATGCCTATCAACGTTAATTAAGGTTTGATTGCTAAGTAGTATGTTGGACCAGAGTCATATAATTTTTTTCAACTGGTGTTATTTTCATGTTCTGAGTGTGCTTCATGTGCGGGTTCAAATTCTCACTATTTATGACTTAATTCTGCTACTATCACGCTCCTGCTTTCGAATTCACTCCCGCTTTATGTGACTTAGTGTTGGACTAATGACTTTTCTATATGCTTGTAATTATTAATAATCACTGTTGGTTGGCTTCAGTGTTGAAATCTTGGGACTTAGTGCTTCACGAAGCATTAAGTCTCATTCAAAAGATTATGGATATAGTCTGAACTTTAATTCGTATGAAAGGATCGCTTTACACGGTCTCGTAGATTAGTAAGGACAAAATCCCCGACACCTCGATTATCCAAACAAAAAAAAAAGTGTTGTCATTTAGGTAGTAATGGTTGCTTTTAGATAAAATAAATGAAGTCAACTAATTTTGTAAAATTAAACATGTTCACAACTCCATGAAAACTATCTTAAGGCATGGCCGGTCTTAGGGCAAGGTGACCAAGGCAGTCGCCTAGGGCATTATAGTATATGTCTGAAATATCAGTATCACTATTTCTCATAATTTAACGTAACTAGTCTTTTAATCAATTAAAAGACATCAATTTAACGCCATAATTTAAAGACAATACAAAATCATTTAGTATCATGTAAATTTATAGTAATAAATAACTTTTTTTAAAAAAAATTATGATAATAAACATGTACTTATAATATCAATTTATATATATAATACAATAATTTGTATGGTAAAAATAATTTGTTTCTATTCCTTTTCTTAAAAAAAAAATAAAAAATATATATTTAAACAAGAAACTGATTCATTTTATTATTATATTAGTTTTAGGCTCACGCCCATGCATGCATGATAGTTAAGCCTAACTCAAACAACCAAATTTTAACTCATGGATGGATGCAGTCAACTATCAAATTTTTATCTCAACCTAGTTCAAATAATAAAATTATGACAGTGATTGGAGTACTTAAATTTATAATTTTGCATCTCAAAATGTAATATGGTCACATTTACTTTGATATGAAGTTAAATTTTGATTTTTATGACCAAGTTAATGTTGAATATTTTTAAATTTTTTAATATAAATTGGATTGTGCTCTTTATAAAGCACCAAGTCCGATTTTTGCTTTGTGTTTTTTCACCCTTAATATATTTTATATGATTATCGTCTGATTTTGATGTAAATTTTATACTCATGTTATTTATAAATGGTCTCGCATTTGAAAGTTTGCCTAAAACTTCTCAAAATTTTAAAAATTCCAGGGCCGGCCCTGTCTTTAGGTCACCACCACCCCTTTTGCTGTGCAGACTGCTAGTGTGGCTGTTTAATTTCTCTTTCATATATATATTTTTATTTAATCTTTTTACTAGACATTCACTAGCTTGTGTTGAAAATATATACATAAAGAAGTTGTCTAAAGTTTCACCTTGATCTGTGAAAAGGTCGGGATCACATGCTGTTTTATAAAATTGTGTCGAAACTTTATGACTTTCTCATATTCTTTTAGAAACTTGAATTACTGAAAAACCAACCAAAGAAGCTTTTGAAAATGTTATTCTTTGACAAAAGTCCTAAAGAATTTAAAAAGCCACGCAAGCTTGGAGGACATGCACAGTTTGTTTTTCCTTTTTTCTCTCTCCCTCTTTGTTACTCTCTTTTGGGCACCATCTTGCTGTCCTTTATAGAATATGGAAAATGCTTGCAGACTAATGTTGTTAACCCTAACCCTAACCCTAGCCAGAAAAAAATAATAATAAATAAACTTTTAACATTTTTTTTTTTTAATGTAAATAGGGTAGTTCGAATGGACAGTATTAGGTAACCAACAAATTTTCTGTATATCAATTTAATGATAAATCCAGTAAGATTTTTCTTTAAATATATATATATTAAGGCTAATTGTATTTCATTGAAGAAGAACAATTTCTTAATTTTAGTGACCATGAAACCATTATGGGCAAAGAAATACTCTACTTTTGTAAAGTAACACCATGTTGTCTTAGATTTTGTTCCCGGTGCTTTTAATGTAATGGAAATCTTAGGATACCCAAAAAAAAAAAAAGGAGGAATATTATATAAGCAGAGGAAAAAGAGTAAAGTTAATATCAAAAGCAAAAAAAAAAGGTTGGGACCATATTTATCCAAGTCCCACGCTCGCATTGAATAATAGAAGAAATTGTAAAATTCTTGAAATTGCATGCAAAAACTTACAAGAACATTTGAAATCATGTCACAATATTAACTACCCGTGAAATTTCTTTTTGAATTACTCTCTTTTCTTAATTAATTGAGATACTCCTATAAATTAATCATCATCATATGTACATAATGACAAATCATGTGCACAAAGTAAACATTTACTTGAGACATGTACCAACTCGTGTGAATTAAGAAACAAAATTTTGGCATTATATCATATACTACTAATTAAGAACATATTTGATTGAAGTGTTAGTGCAATTAAAATCTATATTTTCAAGTGGTTTTCTTATGGTAGAGGACAAACAAGCCACCGAGACACTAGAAGAAACATATACATCCAAAAATGAAGGTGATTCCAAAATTGAATCATTTGTTTTATGAGTGTTTTATCATCCAAATCTTTAAGAACAGAGACTTCCTTTGAGTTTCCAACTAGTTTTTCTTTATATATATATATATATATAAGAGTTGCGCCAAACTGTTCCTTCCCACATGGGGGAACAACAGGACTCACGGATGCATCATGCAATGAAGGAACCATGTATTTAATAACTTATCTCCTTTGGATCCACTGCATGCTTCAGTTTGACCAATATCAGAAGATACTATCATACTAGTAGCATGTTTTTTTTTTTTTTTTTTTTTTTTTTTTTTTTTTTTTTTTTTCAGTTAAAAAGATACTAGTAGCATGTTGTTCACTAGAAAAGAGACACCTACCAAACTAATAGGAGTATATACTTCACCATCAAAACATAATTAATTATAGACTTCAAAAGGGTCAAGGGGTTCATAGAAGTTTCCCTCATTATGTGCTCTACAAGTATTTAATAAATTTAGTATCAACAAAATTCATAAATAAATATATAATATTGATCGACAAAAAGAAATATTGTACTACAATAATGTGCTTGTACAATAACTTTTCCACCAAATTCTAAGAAGCAAATATGAATATGGCCCTAATGAAACTACTATCTACACCTCCTAATATGTATATTTGTATGTGTGTGTGTGTGTGTTTGGAGATATTTAGACATTTGATACGAGAGTTGACAGGTAGTTTAATGTGGTCAAAGACACATAAATAATGTTTCAGAATGAAAGGTGAAGAAGGGCAGTGTACCCGAATCGATGTGTTTTGTTCATCATACACTACTACTCCACTGCTCCATTAATAAGGAAACCAGTCAAGCCAGAATTAAATCAATCATTACCATTGACTTCATTGGTCCTTACCCTTTTTTCTTTTTCTTTTTTTCCTTTTTTTTTTTGCAACTACTGCAATGGTTGGAAGGATTGAGGGGGCATTATTCATCAAGAGGTATAAACCCTGATCCAAATCTAGACCAATCAATCTTCAATCCGATTTCTAACATGCTCGTGAACCTGGATTTGGTACAGAACGCTACAAGTTCCATACTGCAAATGCTTCTCCGATCTGGAATTTTTATTTACACTTCAAGCCTTTTTGTTTTTGTTTTTTTTTTTTTTCCCCAATTAGTATATATGGCTAGGCCCAGTACACAGCTCCCACCATTGCCAAGGGTGCATAGGGTTCAACCTTAACTAAACCAAAATATTTCTGTTACCATCCAATGTTTCCTGCCATTTTCAATGAAAATTTTAACAATGTTAATTTGTCAATAGTAGTGAGTTTGTCCATCTGAGATACAACCCTGAAACATATAGGCCAAACATAACGGATCAAAGCCTAAAAAGTGCAAGAGTCTGTCAGTTGCAATCTGGCAGAAGATGCTGCAAAAACTGCTTTAATGGTTTCATAGGTTTTTCCTTTTCACGTATAAAACACACAAACCAACTACAGAAGGCAAATAAATGGACAGCAGCCATTCAGAATGCATCTCCTCTTGGTATATGAATAGAAAGCAACTGATAGACCTGCGTTTGTCAAACGCCTTTCACAATTTTATTTTATTTTTTTGAGAGAGAGAGAGAGAGAGAGGCTTAAAAGCAATGTGAAGTCCTCACCACAGACATACAATTTAAAAGCAATTTTCATAATATTAGCAATGTCCTCAATGACCTGACTTTTTCTATATACAGAAATAATTCACCTTCATACCCCATAAACATACAATTTACCAATAATTGTCATAATGTCCTCAATAACTTGATTTTTTCTATTTACAGAGAATCGTTCACCTTCACTATCCTTCACTATCCGGGGATTCATCTGATAATACAGTTTACTCATAAAACCTTACAAACAGGCTTCCTTTTTGGATAATTGAGACACGTTAGTCAGAAAGGCTAAAATAAATCAAAATACACTCGGCACTTTTGTTAACCTATTCACTCCACTACTCTAAGCCGCAAGATCATTTCTGACTGAATAAAAAAACTCAACCTTCTAAATTCTAAAATAAGAAAAAGATTTTGATGAAGAGAAAATGCTGATGAGCTATGCTATTAAAGACTGAATGGAAAGATCAAAGTTTTGCACATTACTGCTAATTATATCAGAACCTTGTTATGATACAAAGAAGTTCATTTTCAGCAATTTGTAACTTGCACTCAGATGTCCTTGAACAGGTGAATTCACCTTCTTGACAATCTTTAGTTAGTCCAGAGTCTGTTCTGCATGAAGGAAAAGCAAGAATCATATAATGCAAGTACTTGGCAAAAGATAATGACTACAACTTCTGAGTTTGGTCTAGTATTGCCAAATGATTAACACTGGAAGCAAAATGTTTTGTCGATTAGATCTACAGGAATGAGAAGTCTGGTAAAAAAGAATTAATCCCTTGTTAGCACTAATCCTCTCTACTTGAATACCAGATCTCTTGGTTGGCTGTTTGCATCATCTTTAATAAGTAAATGCAACCACATTAGTGAAACTGCTATATAATCAAGTACATGAAATGGCAGCTTAGCCAGTAAAATGTAAACTGCTCTACACATGGATATATATTTACAAGCGCAATTAGAATTCCAAAGTACCAGACAAAAATGACTATATATATATATATTGATCAAGTAAGTACCCACAGACTGCTCACGCCGTGGCTCGAACACCTGCCCTCCTCTTTGAGGGTAATATTTTCAAGCTCAATAGTGTGAAAAAGAAAAGGTCTTGCCATTGGTAAAATGACTCAATATTTTCAAGCTCAATAGTGTGAAAAAGAAAAGGTCTTGCCATTGGTAAAATGACTCAATATTTTCAAGCTCAATAGTGTGAAAAAGAAAGGTTTCTGAAGAAGACCGTGGAGGTTCAACATTCATATGATACCGTTATAAACATGACCTTATAATAATTATATATGTGTGTGTGTGTGTGCAGTTCTTTTAAGGCATGGTTGTATCTTCCGAGGAGGAAATAGTAGATCTACTCTTCAAGCAAATGTTTAGGTCCTGTCCAATCATGGAGGCATCCATTCTTCTTCAGTTTCATTTTTCTCTTTTTGACTTCTGGTTGCTCTTTCCTCGTGTTTTATCCAATGACATGATTTATAAATTTTCTAATTTGTAAATCATACAACAGCTTTATTTTATCTTAATATCATCGTTTTGTCAAATATATAGAGGTGTGCAGCATTGCCAAGTAGGAAATTTCCTGTATTTACTGCGGATCAATACAATGTTTTAGTCAAGAAGAAGGAAAGGCTGTCGCTCAAAACAACCTCCGTTGTCTCTTTTGCCAGGCAAGTACCACCACCTGTAAGCTTTTCAACACTGAAGCAGGTCACCACCATTAAACGAAGGGAGAAAGGAGGAGGGAGAAGAGGGAGGAACTGTATTTCATACAAGCTGATCTTTTTTCTTTTCTTTTTTTCTCTTTATCTTAATAGCGTGTTTTCCTTTTCCCTTATTTTTCTTCATAATATATAAAAATCTTTTAGGTGTCAATGCTGTCCTTCTTCAAACTAATTACCTATTTAATGCAACAACAGAGTCAACTGAACGGAAGACAAAAAACTAAAGCATGTAGAAAGTAAAACGTAGATGTAATAGGATTGAATCCAGAAAATGATGTACCTCAAGTAATTTGACAACAATAAGTAACAGATTCCTCCCAAATTCTCAACTGAACATCTGAGCACAACAACTAAAGAAAATACTACATTGCCACCTTTCAGCCTGCGACCTTTATTGCACCCATCTCATCGATCTTTGAGCTCTTATGCTGCAACAAGTTAGCGGATAAGAGGAGAGCCATACTAACAAGGGCTAGAGGTGAACATAAACAGTGTGTTCATAATAATTAAAATGGAGCTGAGCATAGCAAAAAGATATCAAAATCATCCAAAAAAGTAAATAAATAATAATAAGATATTGATTTTCTTCATGTTACCTTACTTTTCTTGTGTCTATGAATGTCACTAAGATCTTCTTCTCCATCATGCTTCCTTTTCTGGAAATTATTAAGAGAGAGCATTCAGATATGTGGGACACATTAGAAGATTTAATTAAAATTCAGACAAACCACAAGCAAAGTTCCTTCCCTTCAATGCAATATTTTTTATATCTATAGCCAAAGGATAATACTTTTTTTTTTTGGAACTTCTTTCATTATTCTGCAATATCATTTTTGGGACAAGAAAAGTCTAAAACTCGACTTTTGGATATATAAAACAGGGCAACTACAATACAGAGTAATCCAGGACAGTCACAATTTTTCTGTAGTACTAGAAGCTACTAAAGTGTTGCTGCAAGGAAAAGCAGCAGCAAGATGATACTGATGTTCAAACCTTCTCATGATGTTTTCTTGAATGTTCAGCACCAGAATCATGATGCCCACTTTTCTCCTTTTTTTTCTCCTTTTCCTTATCTTTACTTCGATCTTTATGACGGTGCCTGTGCTTCTTATGTTCTTTCTCCTTCTCCTTCTCCTTCTCCTTATCTTTGTCCTTGTGCTTTTTATGCTTCCTCTCCTTGTCTTTTGACTCACTCTTAGACTTCCCTGCAACAGTAGGAATTCCTTTCTCTGCCTATAGAACAACAGGAGAATGGATCAGCACTTCCAGATAATTAGAAGAAAGTTATTTTAAAATAAATAAAAGCCCTTGGGGGGGGGGGGGGGGGGACCCAGTCAATTTTGAGGATCTAAGATATACATATGTATATAAAGAAAACCACTAAAAAATAACTGTCAAAAGGGCCCAATGCAGTAGATTTCTTACAGGAGGAAGATCAATGGGAGAAGTTTCCCTCAGTTGAAAGGCTTCTCTGAGGACGTCAAGGTCAAACGGCTGTATGCGAGTATTAGTATCTCTTGAATAGGAGATATCCTGAATCATCTGATCCAATTGCATCCCTTCCCCTTTTCTGATTTCTGTATCTCCCACCACATTGTGAAGGTAGTGTGTATCAGAAATCGATAAAGGAAGTGACTTCTTGCAGAAGAACTCGTGGTGGGGCAACAACTTGTAGTGATTAATAAGATCCACAGCACCTGTAAGTTCCCTTGGCCCTAACATTCAAATAGACCATGTCAATCACAATGATAAAATTGAACCGGATTGATATAAGACTATAAGTGGAACACAAGTGGGAAAAGAATAAATCCCAACTGAAGAAAACAAAATATTTAAAGAAATATTTCCCATACCGGGTCCCTTAATATTAACTAGGAAGTAAATTTCAAATTTATGCTTCTATAACTCAACAAGAACCAGAAAATTGATATAACTAAATTAATTCAAAATATGAACTCAGTGACAGAAACTAAACCATAGAAAATGGAATAAAACTCAACATATAACAGCCTCCAAATTGATTTCAGAAGATTGGGTGATGTTGTACTTCTTGACTTCTTATTTCGGTGTGAATCAAACTGCGATTTTAGGATGGAAGGGGGATCCTGAGAAGGGGAAAGAAAGAAAACAGGACCTCTGTATGGCAAGCGTCGCAGTAGGTCAATGGGGTCCCTCGCCGTTAAGGTTCCCTCGCGTTCTTAAATAGCGAAATACCAGTGTCAAAAGTTCATAGTCAAGCATGATGTGATCAAAGGACCTAGTGCATGTGTTTAAACCCATATTTGAGGGAAAGAGGTTCCTTCCCCTTGTCAAAGTTCCCATGGGAATCAAGTTAATTTAGAGTGTAAGAAGTATCACAATAGAGATTCCACTTTTGCCCCAAGATAAATGTCATAGGCTAATAGCTATGAATCAACCTCATTAAAGCATGAACCAACGGCCATAATGCAAGGTTAGGAGAACACTAAATGTGAAAAATGACCAAGAGAGAACCATCTAGCCCCAAGTCCGACAGAAATATGCACCAGGAGTCTGAACAAAATCACACATAGCAAGAATCCATATACATACAGCGTAAAACACCACCAAGTAAAATCTAATAAAAAATAATTTGTGACAGGTGTTCGGAGTGCATCACCTCTTCCAAACTTTTTGCCTTCAGGATCCATTAATCAACATCTGATAAGGAGGTGGACCATTATTGCCTGACAATTTAGAGAGACAAAGTAAAAGAAAAGGAAAAAAAAAAAACAAAAAAAGGAAAAAAAAAGAACCCTTAAAACAAAGCCACGACTATAAGTGGGTCTGTATTACGGTAAAAGAAACTGAGCACATAAATTTAACATTAACAACTATCAAATTGTACAACAAAAAAGAGTAATATTTCTGCCTTTCTTTTCATTAGTGTATTGCTAAACACGAAAATAATGTATACATGCCCAGAATTAAGGTGTATTTTAGGCCATTTCAAACATCAGTTACCATGTTGGACAAAGCAAAGTACAAATAAATATTCTCGATATCCATAACAAACAATTTTCAAAAGCCTTATTTTTTCAAATCATGTTTGTTAATAGTCTAAGCAACAATTTTATATGTTTAACAGACTTTGTTAAATTGTGCAATTGAAATCATGAAACAATGTATTCTCTAATACACAATACTTTTAACAAATTAAATGTGTAATGTGATAAAAAAAATTTAAAAAAAATTAAAATAATGCAAACAGTATTCTTTTGAAGGTGTACAGCCCTAAGGTTATATAAACCTCCTTATCAGAAGTAAGAGACTAGCCTTATGGTCAACACAGTTATATATTGTGTGTGTGAAAATTACCTCACCCCAGATACTTTGGCTATTTATATATGACCACTTCTATAAATACAACTTTTTTTTTATAAGTAAAATTTATTGAAGAACCGCTCAAAAGGGGAGTGGGACCCAAGCACAAAAAACAAGGCCAAAACACCTTAAGCTTTCAAAGAGGCCAAAAAAACAACCAACTCCTCTACAGATCGAAAATCCCTCCCTGAAACCCAACAAAAAAGAGTGGAAAGAATAGAGAACTTAAGCATAGCGATAGGCCTTTACTTTCCATCGAAGTATCTCCTATTTCTCTCAAGCCAATACACCACCAAACACAAAGAGGCGTAGCCCTCCAACCGTCCCAAATGAGAGCCCCCACTGAAAATCCTCTCCAAGCCTCAATCAACCCTCTAGTGGAGCTAGGCATCACCCACGGGATCCCAAACAACCCAATCATCAAGTCCCAACAGCCCCTAGCCATGCTACAATGCAATAGAAGGTGATCAATAGTCTCCTCATCATGCAAACACAAATAACATCTGGTAATCACCACCTGGTTCCTCCTCCTCAAATTATCCTGGGTTAAAATCCTACCCAAGACAGAAGTCCACGCGAAGAAGGCCACCTTGAGGGGGGCTTTGGATCGCCAAATAGGCTTCCAAGGAAAAAAGCCTCCAGCGCCAACCATAAGACACTTGAAAAAGGACCTCACCTCGAAACGACCCTGAGGGTTGGGTATCCAAATCCAACAATCAAGATCCCCAGCAGTGATCGTCTGACGATACAAAAAGGCCAAAAACCGGGTGACCTCCTCAATCTCCTTATCCTGGAAGTGCCTACTAAACTGAACATCCCAAGTCAGTCTCCCGTTATCAAGATTATAACAGTCAACCACCAAGGCCTGCTTATGAGAAGCTATCCTGTAAAGCCGTGGGAAAGCGAGCGCAAGAGGAAGATCCCCACACCAAAGATCCTCCCAAAATCTGATCCTCCTACCATCCCTAATTCGAAAACGAACATGCTTACAGAAATCATCCCACCCTTCAGAATACCAGTCCAAACCCCCACTCCCCTAGGACCACGACCCACGAGAGAACACCACCCTCCACTGCTCTCCCCAAACTTATGAGCAATAACCCTCCTCCAGAGCCAACGCCTTTCCACCCCAAACCTCCAAAGCCATTTCCCAAGAAGAGCCTTGTTGAAAGGCAACAACCTCCTAATCCCTAAGTGACCCCTCCGAATAGGACAACAAACTTGCCCCCCCCCCCCCCCCCCCCTCCCCAAAAAAAAAAAGAAAATTGCGCTGCAATCTTTCAATCCTCTCTGTCACAGAGGAAGGAATCTGAAAGAGAGAGATGAAATAAGTGGGGAGACAAGAAAGGGTACTCTTAATCAGAGTGACCCGACCCTTCTTAGAGAGATACTGCTTCTTCCAACCCGCCAATCTTTTCTCAAATCAATCCACAACAGGATCCCAACTCCCCACACATCTCGAAGGGGAACCCAGGGGCAACCCTAAGTAGGAAATAGGAAAAAAGCCAGTCCAACAACCAAGAATCTGTGCCAACCTCTTTATCTCAGGAATCTCCCTAACCGGCACAAGAACACTCTTACCAACATTCACCTTTAACCCAGAAACAACTTGGAACCAGACCAAAACACATCTCAGATATCTTAACTGATCTGAATTCGCCTCACAGAGCACTAACGTATCATCAGCAAACATCAAGTGCAAAATCTCCAACTGGCTAGTAGCATCCCTGCCCACTCTAAAACCTCTCAAGAATCCCAACTCCACCTCCCTCAAAATCAATCTACTAAGGACCTCCATCACAAAAAGGAACAAGAACGGAGAAATAGGATCCCCTTGTCTCAATCCCCTCAAACTAGAGAAAAAACCGGTCGGAGCTCCATTAACAAGAACTGAAAAACGAGCACAAGAAATGCAAAACAGAATCCATCTCCTCCACCGCTCCCCAAATCCCATCCTCTCCATCAAGTAGAGGAGGAAACTCTAGCTCACGTGATCATACGCCTTCTCGATATCCAACTTGCATAAAACACCCGGATTCCCACTACTCAATTTGGAGTCAACACATTCGCTAGTAATAAGAACTGAATCCAATATTTGCCGACCTCTCACAAAGGCATTCTAAGAATCAGAAATGACACCATCTAAAACCTTCCTCAACCTAGAGGCCAGGACTTTAGCAATCAACTTGTAAATACACCCCACCAAGCAAATAGGGCAAAACTCCCTAACATCCAACGCCCCACCCTTTTTCGGAATGAGAACAATAAAAGTGGCATTCAAGCTCTTCTCAAAAGAGCCCTGGGCATGGAAAGCATGAAAAGTACCCATAATCTCCTCACAGACCACCTCCCAACTCTCCAAAAGAAAACTCATGGAGAAACCATCTAGACCTGGGGCTTTATCCCCATTACAGCTCTTCAACGCGGACAACACTTCCTCTTCAGAAAATGGCTCCTCCAGAACAAAACTTTCTTCACCCGATAGAGAATCAAAATGAAGCCCTGCGAGCAAAGGTCTCCAACCAGTTAATTCTGTGAACAATCTTGAATAGAAATCTGCAATACCCTTGCAAATCTCCTCCTCCTTACATAACACCTCCCCATCCACTCGGATTCTCCCAATATGATTGCCCCTTCTATGAGCATTAGCAAGCCTATGAAAAAAAAATTGTGTTCTTATCCCCTTCCTTGAGCCACAAAGCTTTAGACTTTTGCCTCCACCAAATCTCCTCTAACACAGCAATCCCAGCAAACTCCGTCTGACACTCCACCGTCCTACGTCTCAAGGAGTCCGACAAAGATTCTGAACCCTCAATCCGATCAATATCAGCAATCTCTGAAAAGACCCTATTCTTCCGCCAAACCAGATTACCAAAAACCTCCTTATTCCAAACCTCCTTACTGATAATTTAGGAACGACAACTTTTTCACAATGACTTCTAAATGACTTCTAAAAAGTAGATACTTATTTTGGGACATCACAAAAGGGAAGAATAGAAGCTTATTGTGGGATGGACACAGGGAGAGGGTAGTACACTAAGAGCCAATGGTATACATTAGCTTCCGCCATTCTTCTCCAAATAAATCATTTTTCAAAAGGCCTAAAATTCACCAAAATTGTATCATGGAGAATGTTTTCAACATTCTTTATTTTTTTTATTTTTTCATGCTCGAAGGAAAGGAATTCTCAATCTAAAATTTTCCGTTATACATGTCCAATTAATAGTCAAATAAGACAAGCAGCTCGTTCTTACTCAAAGCCAATGGAGATCATTGACTTGGACTTTTTTTACTCTTCTTCAACGGATTCGTTTTAAAAGGCATAAGGTTATTTTTCCACATTCAAAATGACAGAATTTTTCGAATAAAAGTATTTTCATATTAAAAAACGATTATCTAGCAAGTGCTGACTACATTTACAAGAAGAACTGAAAGCTACTAAGACTTACAACAGTAAAATGAAAAAAGCAAGAGACCATGAGCAAGGAATAAAGGAGGATGGTATACCTAAAAGAATTAATCTAAATAGCAAGGCCTAGGGAAGAAATCTATACAATCAGCCTTATTTTTCAGGTCATCATCAAGAGCCAAGTAGTTGCTTTTCTATTTCATTCAAAGACTTGTTGAAGGAAGGTTTGGCCTAGTAATATTTGCCGTCACTTGTGATGCATTAAATTAAAATAAATAAATAAAGACAATCCTGTTCTTAGTTTCATGCAATTCATGTTGATATATTTAATGGATTTATAAGGCTCTCTTACTCCTTGATAACGAACTCCTAGAATGTACAAATCCAAACACAGTCCAAATTCATGTAAATACTTTATCAGTTTATATTACCACATATGATCTACTACAAGAATAATATACAATTATGATATTCTATGCTTTTGCTTGCACAACCAACAGGCATTTCAGGAATGACACCATTTATGTCAATTTGGATGACATGTGTAATATGAAGTACGGTACCTTTATGGATTTCATCAATATATAGGATGGTTGAGGCTGTTGAGCACTTGTATAGAAAATATGATAAGCAACAAAAATCTATTTATCACAGCTTTTTAAAGTAGCATCATTATTCATTACCTGATCTATAAAGGCTCTCAACCAAATGCTGAACAGAATAATTTTGATCAAGACAACACCCAGCCTGGCCTTGCTTTTGGTGTCAAAAGCTGAGACAATATATGAACAATAAAAATTCAGTAACAAAAGTACCGTGGGTAGGATCACTGAAAGATGCAGAGAAAACTAATAATAATAGCATAGTTGTCTTAATATAGCATCCAAAAACTTTTCTTATTTTAATGTTATTATGCTTTCAACTTTTAAATGGGTGGTGCATGAGTGTGTATGAAAGCAAATAAAGTACAAATCACAGGCCACAAGCAATATCTAATAGCAAACATAACACTAAACAGAGGTCGAGACTAAACCTTTTTTTCCTAAGATCGCAGAAAAAAATTTAATATAAAAAATCATTAAAGCCTGGACATTTGAAAGATTAGGCACACAACACTATATAATGAACCTGGGTTTCATAGCTTTAAATTATAAGGACTCAACATCAGCAACGAATGAAGACCTCATCGGCTTAAATTAAATATCCTTCTTTTTATAAGTACCGTTGTATTAGAAAGCATTCAAAAGTTTGAACGCATACCACAAAAACAACATGGACTAAATAGGACCCTCAGCCTCACAATATGTCTCGGCTTAAATTCAATATCAACAGCACAGCCTGCACAGCATAAATCCAAGTATAGAGTATCAACTTTACCACTTAGCACCCAATTAATTTATTATTTCAGAAAAAAAAAATTGTGGTAATTTTAATAGGATAAATCAGGCATCTTGACCGCATTAAAAAAGATGAAGCTTTCCACTCCACTTCTTGAATTACAAGATTGTTTAAACGCCTCAAAACTATAATTCAAGATCATTATTAGATCCACATACAAAAATAAAGAATGCACATGCCAAAATCGTAACCATCACAGAATAAAATCAAGTAGCATAAGCAGCACTCTCTCCAGGAAACACCAACAATAATAGAGATGGGTGGGCGGGGGGGAGAAAGAGTAGGATGATTAAAAGTGATATATTCTGCTTGTCCACTATTGCATTGCCCATTTCTCAATAAATCAAAAAACAAAAATGGTAAAAGAAAAGAAAAGAAAAAACTTAGGGAACAAAACATTGTCACTGACACACAAATATATGCATGTTCTTGAACACTTGAATCTGTTATGTAATACAATAGAAGTGTTGCAGACCCACAACTAGATGGTCCTTTAAATGGATATTGTCTGGGTTGAAAATCAGTGTAATAAGATGACTCTAAATCATTAGGTCATCAGAACTTGCCAGCAACTATTTTCAAAACTCCCTCTTTTTGGCTTACGAACTTGAAAATTTATCATAACCAATCAAATAATCTAGCATCAGCCAATCATCCTACCATTTTATCATGGTCTAACATCATTGCAAAAGAGGAACAAAGAAGAAGAAGGCCAGCAGAATTTTTAAGTGAAAGTGGCATGGAAAACCCATGCTCTGGAGAATCATATCTCAATTGACTCTTGGAGTAAAGTACTCTGAAAAATTTGAAGTATATTTTAAAATTTCCCTCTTCCAAAAAATTACATGTCACAAGCGTGTCTAAACATATTACTTCAGGCATGGTATTTGCACTTCTTATTCTTAATGGAAACCGAACACTTGTTTTATCCAACATTCACATCTTGTTCTGGTTCTTAAGTACAGTTTCTGCATTTAAAAAAATATAACTAAATTTAAAATTTTTGCTATTTTTTATAAGTAATTATTTTGCTAAAATTAAAAAATAATAATAATAATATGCCAAAAACCTAAAATAATCGTCTTCAACCTAAACTACCATTAAAACAAAAACATCGATGAAGTAGATTAAAGTTAAATAACTCACTTTACTAATTGATTCTTGGACACATAATTTACTCAGACATGGAGACATTGTATTACAGAATTTCAAAGTAGCATAGAGCTTGTTGGTAAAATTCTCTTAAAACCTGGAAATTTCCAGGAACTCTTAAAACATAAAACAGTTTCAAAATACTGCAAAAGATTATTCTCTTACAATATGCATTTTTTTATTAAGTTTTCAGACATAATACATCACTATGCTATCAAAACTATAATTCATACTTGTTATTGAAGGTACAATAAACAGAGCATGATAATTGTAATTGTTACTCTGAGAAGCCTGGAGCTTGGAGTAGTGATAGCTCATGCGAAAAACAACTGCCCATGAGAGAACTACAATTTTCACTCAGCCATCCTTACATGGGCAATAAGATAAAAGACATCAATATGAACTATATAAAACAGGGTTATTCACGTTTTTACTTTGATATTTTAGCTCCAAAAACAAAAACACACACAAAGTCACGGCCCATTTTTGAAGGCCCAAAAACAAAACAAAACACAACCAACAGCCAGGAAAAAAAAATAAATAAATAAATAAAATCTCTCTTTTTCCCCCAAAATCAATATAATATTCTAGCAATAACACAAACCCACCTCAAAACCAAAATTAAAACAACACAAATCAATCATTCAAGAAAAATGATGAATTAATAAATGAATACCGTTTTGAGTGTTGTCGGTGACTGAAATCTACAAAATACATACGAATATAGATGGACATGCATGCATAGATGGACATAGAAAGAGAGATTATTAATTGTTACCCGAAAGACTAATAGAGAACAAGAACGAAGAATTGGAGGCTGAATTAGACTCTGAACCCCAATAGATGAAAATCTGGATCTGAACAACAAAACCGTATGGGATTTTATAATGAAATCGAAAAAAAGTTAAAATCTTGATAGAGAGAAAGCATGTATATGTGATGCATACGAGTACGTAGAGTTCGTACCGTTGGGTTTTGGGGAAGGGAAGATTGCAATCGGAATGAATGGAAGTGGAAGATTTGAGCTTTCTTCTAGGGTTTCAAAGTGAGGAAGGAGAGTGTTAACCGTGTGACCGTGTCGTCTATCGGTCTAGGGTTTCAGAAAGAGAGAAGGACAATACAGTCGAGGCTCGATATATTTTGGGGTCGATCGGATCGGGTTTGAACTAGAAAGACTGGTATTTTTAAGAGCTGTGTAATTTACTTTCTAAAATATTTTATCCGCTATTATTACAACATAACGCTTACATATTTTAATCAAAATAGACACCAAGAATTGACAAGTACTACTACTACTTTTTTTAAAATTATTTTAATTGAAATCAACAGATCCTAAAATATATAATAAAAATAATAATACTATGCAATAAATAATCAAAAGGGCATGCAATTTATGCATCTCGGTTATCTGTATAATTTTTTTATAAAATAATTTTTGTACGGAATAATTACAATAAATTGATCAATTTATTTTTTTTATTAATTAATTATACAACAAATAATAAAGTTAGGTCTCTACTTAGTTGTATTCAGTATAAATAGTCAAATAAAAATTATATGGTTAGACAATTCACTGTAAGTGTTCCGTGTGAATACCACAACTCAATTTTCCGCTATATTTTCTCCAATCGTGCAAAAAAAAATCCCTTATTGTATATAAAATGTGTAAATATTAACAAGTATAATTTTTATGCTATATTTTCTTAAATGGTTGAGGTGTTGATGGGGTTATGCCGCCTCATTTATAGTGATAAATTATAATTTTTTTCTTATACTTTTATATTATATGAAAAAATATTAGATATATATTAAGCAAAATATAGTTTGTATTGTTCCAATTGAATCTTGTTTTTATGTGCATAATAGAAAAATAATTATTACTATGGCTGAAAGTTTTCTTCATTATTTATTTTTATTATACAATTATGAAAATATTTTACAAAACCCGTCAACCCCCCTCTCAATTTAATAAATATTTTGGACGGTAATGGAGGTAGCTATGCTACGTAGGAATGGGGATGGCTTTCCTTGCCCCCAAACAGCTCTATTGCCATTTTTAGTTGTAATAGGATGTAAAAATCAAATAAAAATAATATGTACGGAATTATTAATGACGGCTTAAATGTGGATTATAATAGGTGCTTTGGCATGAATAAAATAATTTAATTAGAGAATTCATGTGCCCGGCTCACATGGGATAAACACAAGAATGACAGAGGATCCCATTCAATTGAATTAAGTGTAATTTCACATGATATCGTTAAATAAATTATCACATTAAATATATAATATTTGTACGTTTGGGAAATGCTTTTAAGAGCAGTGAGTTTCGGTGATTTGCAATATCAAATTGTTTTGATTAGTTGTGTACTCAAAATATAAGAATCACTCCTTGGCATAGTTCACAGTCACCATATTAATTGCAATTGTATTGTAATGAATTTTGATGAATATCAATCAATCGACTTATTCGACGAGCATATTCCTAGTCATACTATTATCTTAGTTAGCAAGTTTACCGTACACAAACTCTCCAACAATTAGGCTCTCACACTGCCCAATACAAAGGACATTTTTAAGGAGAATAATTATTGTATCAAATAATTACATTAAATTGTTAGATTTATTATTTTAATTAGTGAATTATGTAATAAGTAAGAAAATAAAATTCATCACTTAATTATATTTAATATAAATAATTAATTAAAAATTATTCAGTTACACAGTTCAGGACAAGTGTTCAATGAATTAGATCAGGGTTGAACATACTCGAAAAGTAACGGAGACAACTCATTTAATGGTTGTTTTAACATTCCTCAAAGAGCTTGAAAACTCGTTGCTTTAACCTCAAAGGGCTTTTAAAACTGGTTGCTTTTAGCATAAACTGGGACCTCACAATTATGTGCACCGAATTTTGTCTGCTAGTTGTCTAAATGACAATTATGCCCTTCAAATCTCTACGCCTATAAATCAACAGAGTCCACCATTAACAAGCAAGAGCCATCTGGGAGGAGCAAGCAAGAGCCATCTGCTATGGTTTCTCTCTCTATCCGCGTGTTTCTCTCTCTACAAATCTTGATTTTGTTAATCGGATCGTTTTGCGTCCCTGAGATCAGCGGTGGGGTCATAGGAGGAGGGAACTTTAGAGAATTCGATTACTTCGCGTTGGCTCTTCAGTGGCCGGGCACTTATTGTCAGAGAACTCGCCATTGCTGTTCCTCCAATGCTTGTTGCCGAGGGTACACTATCAAGCCCTCATTTCACTTTTAAACACAACACGCATTCATATACACACGTAAACGCATATTGTTGGTTCTCGATTAAACACCGTTTCTTTGAAATCTTGATAGTTTGTGGTTTTCTTTGCTAATAATCTTTATATCTTCTGTATTCGATCATACGGTTTCTTTAAACTTTTTAAAAATATTTTCAGAACTTCTAATTGAGATCTATTTCTTATGAATATTAAAGTCGTATATTAGTTGGTGATATAGGATTTTTCTTCTTCTTTTATTATCAATTTTTTTTTTTTTTTTTTTTGGGGTAGTAGTTGGTTATATATCAAATATTCATTATATTTAGAGCACATTTTGATCTGAAGTTGAATATTTTTCATAGAGTTAAGATAATGTTACTTTTGTTTTTGGTTCTCCCCTTGATACTAAGGGACCACATTTTCTCCCAAATAGACGACTGCTAGCTAAATAATCTTTCAATATCAAATGATTTCCTTAATCAACTTGAGGAAAATCATGATATGGCTCAATACAGAACTGGCTGGCAAATTAGGCATTTGATTATTATCATAATCTCTTATACTAGTCTAAAACTATGGTACCTTGGAATTTTTTTGGAGCTTTAAGCATGCACTAGTGGAATATCTCGTTCATTGTACCCAACTCAACTCAAGTAGGTTCGCAGAGCTCCTATGAGAAACTCCATGTGTATGGTGCTACGATGTATTGGTTAATGCCAATTCACTTTCAGGTGAGCCCTTGATATTAAGGGTAACCTGTCCTTCCATTTTGGCTGTGTCTAGCTCCATCACTTGATCTAGGTTATCATTTCCACCTTGTGAAATTTTATCCCAAAAAGTAAAGGAGGATTCACCATCAAATCAATGAGATCAAACAAAATATTTCCCCCATCCGTTAAAAAAATTTATCATATCATCAGGCTTTGCAGATGCTGTAGTTGGTTTACCTTCGAAGCAAATTCAATATCGAGTAACATAAATTGAAATCTAGTTTAATGCAAAATAAACTAATATATAAGCAAATAAATAAATAAGCAATTGACTGGTTGCAAGGAAAATTTTACTTCATTCTTTTCATGCGCTTCACTTTCCTCCACTGCATCCTTATTAAATTTATCTTCAGATACCTATGTTTATTCTTGTTTGCATTAATGTTGTGTTTATCAATATGCATCTTTTATTCTTGATGTTCAATATATATGGCTTGTGTAATACTGGGGAATTCTCAGAGAAAAGAAACTTACTATTTATTTTTTGTGGTGATTTTTACACAGCTCAAATGCTCCATCTGAATTTACAATCCGTAAGTGCAAAATTATGACTGTTCTTTCACATTGAGTATCTGGACTGCTGAATCCAATTTCGTTCTACTGTGCCATGCATAATGTTATACACCTTTTGCCTTCTCAACTGTTTTTTCTCTATATGTTCATTTCTCTAAGATATATAAAGGATGTCTAAAGAACCTATTGTTATGTTCATCTCGTATGTATTATCTATCAAATGATGCCTCTTGCCGCACAGATGGACTATGGCCTGACTACAATGATGGAACCTGGCCTGCTTGTTGCACCCGTTCTAATTTCGATATAAAAGAGGTACATGTATACTTCCATTGTACTAGTTTTCTCTTCCCTCTTCTCTAGACTGTTTGTTTCATAATTCTTGGGGGATCTACAAAATGAGTGTAGGTGCAAATAATTCGTTTAACTAAAAAGCCAAAAGAATAAATACAACTCACTCAAATAAAGAATAATGAATAACAAGAACAATTAAGAGAAAAGCTTGTAATGCTCGATGATCTTTATTGGAGGTCTATGCCTCTATTTATATACAAAAAGATGGTGGAATTATGGTAGGATTCGCTCTGCTTGTCCTCCAATTCATTCCATATATAATTCTCTACATACAATTCTTTCTTCAATTCTTTCCATGTAGAACTTCTTTACTATATAGGACTTCTTCCAATGCAGAATTTCCTTATACGAAGGATCCTTTGTCAAGGAGGATTTAATTAATCCCAATCGTACTTGGATTATAATTGAGAATGGGCTGGGTGAGTTTTTAGCAAGCTGAGAGTTTAACATTAACAACCTTGGGCCGATAGTGACTTTACCTGGGCTTGCTCAAAATTGGGCTTCGATGGGCTAGTGGAAAACTATTGAGGTAATACCTTATTTTAATGACGTGGAGGATTCTTATTGGAGGGGGATTTTTCCCTCCACAGTGAGGCTTTAGATACTGTGGCCATCTTAGAAAGACTAATCTTGCCTATGTGTGTGATGGGGATGGGATATGCTTTACTGTTATTGCACCATTTCTTATACATAAATCATTTTAGGACTTGGGGGACTGGTATTATGTATGCTTGGATGCATCATTTGTTTGAAGAAAAAGAATATGTTTGGCGAACTTTAGACTCATTTTGCTACTCTTAGGAAAAAAAAAACAAGATAAATAGTAACACAAAGGTCTATAGTTCCACTTGAAAATGTAAAGTATTATCTAAGAATTACTAATTTTAACAATAATCTAAATTCCACAAAATATCATTCTAAAAGTTGTCATGCACTTCTTGCGTTAAATAAAACATAAATGCATACCCATGTCATATGGTATAATGTCAAACACACCAAATGTTACCACAACTCCAGGAAGTTCAACTGTGCCATTCTTTATTGTGTTGTAGCCTTATCAACTAATTTATTTGCTTCAACATGCTTATTATCTCCAACAAGGTCCGGTTATGCATTTCTCTGGTTGTGCAATTTGTCTTCTCCACAGACAGCAAATATTCTAGTAATTTTATTATCTTCTCCATAAGTACTCCTTAAGTAGGGTTCGGCTGCAGATGGTCCCTTGCCATCTTCATTGGCACATGCGACATCTTTAGCTAGTATTTATTGCTCATTTTTTGGCAGAATCCCCCACCCCCAAAATATATCTACAGTATTACGAGATTTTGGGTGTAATAAGGTGTTGCCTTAGAGGTGTGTGTAAACCCAAGAGTTGTCATGCCAGATGAATCCTCTACTTCAGTCACACAGCCAAGTATCCCTAGGATCATAGACTATGACATAACCATGAGGTAGGCCACTCTGATAGCTGCACACAGAGATGTAAAGGATCTCCAAGTCAACATGTATCTTTCTAAACAGAGTATGAGTTGTGAAATGGTAAGGCCTTGACCATGAGGAGTTAGTGGTAACCTAGATATTGCTCTTCTCTCCCTTTTTTACAAGTCAGCCTTGACTTCCACCTAATATTGTCCACCCAAAAGTCAAATCCTTCACTGTCATTATATATAATGTCTCCAATCTTTATTAACCCACAAGAACACATAATATATATCATTATTGATTGAATATAATTTGGTAAAGACATTAATTTAGGTACGGGCTTGCATAACTATAATAGAATACAATATGAAAGCATGTGAATATGTCAAAAGAGTGGGGCATGTGGATTTGTATTGGATGTAATAATTGTGATGTTATCGTAAATAGAGATAGACAATGGTTGAATTGAACCCTATTTGCAGACATAGAACTTCTGAAGGGAATTTATTATGGAAAGGAAAAAGAAAAAAAGAAAAACTAAGAACGGATTACCTTGTGCTACCAATTTAGCGATGGATAAAATACAATGAGCTACTTTGTATTTTTATGGGAAACTCCCTTTTTGTTTCTTTGCAACAATGAAGTTATCTGTCTGTCTGCCTCTCTCTCTCTCTCTCTCTCTCTCTTTTCTAATAATCTATGTCAAATGTAGTTTCTTAGCATTTAAAAGTGATTTCATAACTTGTCTGAACTATGTTTGCTTCATTTAATTGTAGATATCAACATTGCTTGATGACCTAGAGAAGTATTGGCCATCTTTAAGTTGTGGTTCCCCATCAACCTGCCATGGTGGAAAAGGGACATTTTGGGGTCATGAGGTGTTTATCAATTATAGTCTTTCTTACTAATTTTTCTGGTACCATGAGACGGAACTAACTATGCTTCCTTGTTTCTGTAACATGGCATAATGGTGGGATATTTATTCGCAGTGGGGTAACTGTCTTCTGCTTGCGCTATGTTACTTAATATAGTGAATTGAATTATTATCAATATATTTTGCTGCATTAGAAGTGCAACTGCTGCATGTCTGTGATGGATGCAAATCATGTCTAAGCTAATCATACAACACACCTGCAACAAAAATTGGTTGGAGACATTTAAGAATCATCTGAATCTCAGCTTCTCACTTTTTAAAGCAATATTGAATTTCTTAGATTGTTAACCTCGTTGACAATACTTCTCCAATTTAACCCTTTTTGGGTTTCGTTATGACATTTAGATACAAAATAAAATGGAAGTTAGGTGGTCTGCATTATGTCTATCAAATCATCAATCTTGCTGGAAAGCATATGCATACTTTGTTCAAATGCTTTTGGATTAATGTGTACTTTCTTTCTTGTATGATGTTTGATACTCTTTACTTTTATGGTTATTATGGTAGTAGGGTGTTATGCTAGTACCATACGTAACAATTATATGGTTCTTTCTTATGTAAACTAGTTAGGAACATGAGGAACATGATATTGAACTTAGAATGATTTGGTGCAAAGAGATCATCCATATCGAGTGCATCACACTATTGGTGATATGATTATATCCCATAAATATAATATGAACATTATTCGTGGATTTTTGTAGTGGATCAACATCAAATGGTGGGTCTAACAGGCAGTTGTGTGTGTCATATGTGTTATATTATTATTGTCCAAAGTGATGACATATACAAGAACATATATATAATTCTTCCTCCATATCAATCTCAATCTTACCTTTTGGCATTTTATTTGCAGAAAAGCACGGGACTTGTTCCTTTACAGTTGTTGGTGATGAATACAATTATTTTTTTACAACACTCAACGTCTATTTCAAACATAATGTCACAGTAAGTTCTGCACAGATATTTTAGCTTCCAGTTTTTTTGAGCAGGGTTACGCGCTGATCAGAATAGTAAGATGTCAAAAGTGACTTATTATGTTGTCTATTTCTGACTTGTATATTGCCCTTTTTCCCTCCGATGAATAAAAAACCCTGTTTTGCATCTACACCAGCTGTAGCCCTCAAGGTTGTTCTGTAGGCCTGGTTAGTTTGCAGAACAATAGGATTTTCTTATAAATTGAACTCATTAGGTGGCCCGCTAATTAAACTTCAACAGTTTGGCTCTGTCCAAGTTACATACATGTTGTGAAAAGTTGAGATAAGAATTGATGGTATGAAAATATGTGCTGTTAGCTTGAGTGGTATCTCCAGCCACTCCAAAAAAGGTGGTTCTGTATTCAAGTCCACAAACAAGTTCAACTCCTAGCCAGGCTTTGCACAATGGATAAGTAACCACTAAATAAATCCTTGGTATGAATTAGTAGGAAGACTATTGCAAGTAATCTATATGTTGTGCGATGTCTGGTAAGGTCAAACAGGCTTACGTTTCTAGCATTGATATGTATGCAAAAAAAAAAAAAAAATATGTGCTTGTGTGTGTGTGTGTGTGTGTGTGTGTACACAAAATAAAGTTCTTTGCTAATTCCTGATGCTTATGAATGTCAGCACTTGTTTGGCATGGATATTCTCATGTAAAACTCAAGTAGTGCATCCTTTGTTGTCTAATGAAAGTAAGAGAAGCATAAAAGGTTAATTCCCATGTCCGTTATTTCATTTGAATCTACTGGTTGAGGTAAATTTATTGAACACAAAACATATTTGGAGAGAGATTCTAGGATTTGATCAGTATGGATTAAAATCATAACCTAAATTATGATGCATAATTAAGAAAATGAAGATCTTATGGCTAGCAAGATTAGGATGGATGGAATGCCATTTTAGTCAAAATCAGCATAAAAATGACTTGAGTAGTGGAAACCAATGGCTAAAAGATACCAAAACAACCATTTGTTATTAAGGAATTGTAGATTAAAGCAAGTGCTGTCCATAGATCTAAGGTTGCATGAATGGAGTGGCAGAGAATATCTGAGTTGTGTGTCACAGAATACCTATCAAGTGAGAGGTAAAATTTATGAAATGGCTTTAAGAGTAGTTAAGATTATGGTATAGAATGATTTAGAAATAAAAAGAAAGTTTGTTAGAAAATTGAGTGGAACCAAAATGAAAATATTTAGAATGGCAAAAGCAAGGATGTGATAATTTTTATTGTGATAAGAGCCAAAAGGACAATTGTGGTTTTTATTTTGTTAGAATTCACATATAGTGCAAAAGCAGGATGTGATAATTTTGGTATGAAAATAATTTTTTTTATCTCTAGTTTGGTGTGAAAAGACTTGTGACAAAAGCACTAGTTGATTTTTGCTTGATATACACTTGTTGCATGAGTTCCAATTTCACTTGTGCAGGTATGTAGAGCTATGGAAGGGGTCCAATTAATGTGTAAAAATACACGTGCATGCCCTATAGTACTTGTCATGCCATAGAAAAGATGACGACTTGAACAAAGTGAGAAGGCAAAAGTGAAGCCAAATGTCTCTTTAAACACATTGCTGAAATATGGCAAATATAACTACGTTTATATGCCTACCAGAAAAGAAAATAACCATGTAAAAAATCTCTTCGTTTATCAGAAAAGTTTGATTGTTGCACATAATTAGGCCATGAGGTGAACTTTGTTGTATCAACTATAGACATGCAACTGCAGTGGCAACCAACTATTGATGAAATTATTAAATGGCCGTGAATTAATTGAATAGTTTTGGTTATTGTTCTCATATTTAATTTCTACTTTTTTGTCCCATCATTTGGCATGAATTTTAAGCAAACCAAATCATTCAATGCATTATTCAAACCTGATAATTCCATACATAACTTTAGGTTATGTTTAGTATAGTAGGAGGGACAAAAAAGAAAGGATAACATTAGTCATGAAAAAAAAGAAAAGATATGAGAGGATTGTATTAGCCTCTTAATCGTGTTTAGTTGATTGATGAGGGAAAAGAAAGGAAAGGATAGTGTTAACATCTAATCATGTTTGGGGAGAGAAAGGAAAGGAAATTATTTTATTGAATTTACCATATACCCTTTACATTTAAAGAACTGCGTGGTATTTTGTTTTTGTCCTTTGTATTTAGGGTAAAATCTGTATTATGAAAGTTACATTAAACATGGTATTCTTTCCTTCTTTCTCCCATTTTTGGAAGAATAACAAAAGCAATGGTGGAGGGGTTATTGAACCCTTCATATCCCCTCCATTTCCTTTCATATCTTTTTTGTAATTTCATAATGAACAGAGCGGAAGATTTCCACCCATTTCCTTTTTCCCATCCTTCAGTTTCTCTCAAATCAAACTGATCCTTAGGTTTTTATGTTCAAGTTTACGCATGATAGGTTCATCTAAGTGGGAGTGAATATCTTCCATTGAGATTTTAGACCGCACATAAAGCTGTGTACATATCATCATCTATATGTGTACATATAGATTTGATGCCTTCAGAAATCAGAAGTTTGAGATATGTGAACCTTAGTTGGTTCTTAACAAAGTTACTTGTTTGCGTTGTGACCATTACATGCCGGTATATGCCACCTTCTTTTATGATAGTTATGTTGCGTAATTTTTTATATCCCATCACTCACAGAAACTAAGTCATTTTGCACGTCATTGGAAGGAATACATGACATGTGAGTCGTGAATCTTGATTTGCGGTTTGAAGAGATGAGATGTGGAACCATGTTAACTTTATGGTCTCCTATGTGATCTATGGTGAAAAGGAGAACTTATGCTGGTCTGTATTTTTTATATCTATTTTTATTCTCTTACACCAATAAAGTCGTGGGTGGTTCTGGCAATACAAAGTGAGCCTAGCCCCACTTCTTGGGCCAAACCCATCACTGCCTAGTGGATCAAAGTAGTTTCACATCCTCCTAAATTTCTTCGGTGCTAATTTCTTCTTGCTTGGGGCATTTACCCAAGGTGAATGTTTGATTTTGTAGCACTAAGAGTAAGGTCTATTTTATCTATTTATTTATTTTAATTTTATTTTTCATGCTTTCAAGACGAGATCATACCATTCTTGTTTCATCTCAAGCTAGACTTTCCCAAGTTCTTTTTTTTTTCAATCCTTAAATGTAAGGAAAATGTTTGCCAGCATACTTTATGGATCAATCAACAGAAGTATCTTTGTGGTTTCCTTGGCCTTGCTGTAGGTTCACCTTAAGGTTGCCTGGACGCTTACTTATACATTTGCTTTGTGTGGTTCAGTTATTATGTTCTACCACAATGCCTTTTCTCTTGTTTTTTATTTGTCAACATATTTCCATGACCTGGTGAGTTAAGCATGTAATGTTAGTGGGTTGTTATTGTTCTTAAAAACGTTGACTCTTGCTGCAGCTGAAATACTAACAGAACTTTTTTGTGTATATCTTTAAATCAATGATATTGCGCAGTTATGTTGGACTTTATTTGCTTTATTTATTTGATCAAGAATTTCATGATTCTATTTATGGTTCCAGAAAATTCTGAATGAAGCTGGATATGTACCTTCAAATTCGGAAAAGTATCCTCTCGGAGGCATTATTTCTGCCATCCAAAATTCTTTCCGGGCAACTCCTAAAATTAGTTGCTCACATGGTGCGGTGGAGGAGCTCCAATTATGCTTTTATAAGGACTTTAAGGTTAGACACTTTTTTTTTTTTCTTTTTTTTTTTTTTCCCTGAATCAGGTTAGACACTTCCTTTGCAGCTACTCGAAAATTCATATGTTGTGGTCACATTGAACTTATCAGAACGATTAATAAGAATATATAGTGTGCGTGTCAGCAATACCTATAAAAAGATAACAATTAGTTGCTGTTTATTGACCTAGTGGACATCCACCATTTTCCCGGCACAATATTCACGCAAGTCATCAGCCATTGATTTATGGTTTTCATTTCAGCCATTTTCTAGAGACAATATTTGTAACTACTGAAAGGTAAAAATGGGCTGGATGATCACAATAAATTGATGTGGCGATTCTAAGTGAGAAAAGCCGATCGGAGTTCATTTTTTCATTTATCTGCAAATGTATCTTTGTTTGAGTTTGCATCTCTCTTTAAGTTTTTTGTGTCACATAGAAGCTTAAATTCATTTTCTGAATTTTTTTTTTATTACAGCCTCGGGATTGTTTAACTGGATCTAGCACTCAGAATGACGAGATTTCTTCAAAAAGCTCTTGTCCAAAATATGTCAGCCTGCCAGCATATGTTTCAATGGGTAAGTTTCTTTCTTATCCGTATAGTTAATTTATTGATGATAAAAGAATGCAAGTCTGTCTATCAGCTGTATTTGTTGTTTAGCGTGTTTGATTTGTGGTATCATTTAATTATAAGTATGGAAAAGTTGTGTACATTGAGTAGTGTGGATGGCTAATGTACGAGGCATTTTTTTATTTTCTTTTTTTATTTATTTATTTTTTTTTGGTGTATAAATGTACTAGAAGTTGTTAGCAAGCAGTATAATGGGTCCAGAATTGGAACTCTTAACATTATCAGAAATTTTAATGCACATGCATATAATGAACCGTGCCGGGTGAACTTTTCACCATTATTTTGGATGGTTGTATGACACTGAGTGGTACCAGCAAATTCTTTACAGAGGATTGAATAGTTAGTTGACTGACCAGTTCAAATTTTATGGGGGAATAGATCTCTTAGGCTTCGTTTGGTTAGATATAATCAACTGGAAAAGAAAGGAAATAGAAAATTTTAAAACTTTTTAGGAGTTTGGTTAGATAGAAATGGAAAAGTTATGGAAAATTAGGATTCTCGTAACCCTCTATGTTCCTCAAAATGTTTCCAGCACAAAGCACGAGGAAATTTTATTTTCACATGAACACAGCATCTTTTTATTTTGTGTTCCTATTTTACCCAACAACTTCATTGACACAACTTTATAGTATTTTTTTACTGGGTTTCAAAAAATTGCAATCCAACAACAACTTTATCATTGATAGGGTTTTAATTAACTTGACTTTCATTTCTAGTTGTTTTCCATCATATATGAATGAAATAAATAGTATTTTGCAAGGTCTAAATTAATTGAAAACTCCATCATTTTTTTATATACATACTGCTAATTAATTTTTTATTATTTTACTATATTTATAAAATAAGGGCAATTTAGGTATCTAAACTATAGCACGATATTTTCCTACAATTTTCTTGGATAAATTTTCATCCTAACTAAATACATACTAGAAAATCACTTTTCTTTTCATTCAATTCACTTTTCATTTTCATTTTCCATTTCTTTTCTATTCTTCCTATATCCATCTAACCAAACGGACCAAACGGAGCCTTAAAGAATCCACTTGCTGGTCATATATAGTTTGTATTACGTTTGCACTTTGTCCTTAGCTGGCCTACCTTAATTTTCAGCTTTTCCTCAATTAGGGATGATGATTTCTTCCGCCCCACTGGGTTCCCAACCCGCCCCTAATGGGACGGGTTTGGGAAGCTATTTTTAAAAATAGGGCTTGTATGTGATTTGAGTATTAAACCCGAGCTGGGTTCAGTGCGGGGACTGTTTTCTTTTTATCCCGCCCCTTCCCAATTGTATAGCAGTATTATACAAACCCTTATTCCTATTAAAAATTATCCTTATATATATATATATATATATATTATAACAGTCCCAATTTCACTCCTCATTCACTCTTTAGACACCCATCGCCCCTCTCACAATCTCACCCCCCACTCGCCGCTCACCAGGCACCACTCCTCAGCCTCAATCTGAACAGCGATCGGCAGTCGACCAAGGACCAAATATGTGACCGTCTCTCTCTGTGCTCTCTCTCTTTCTCTGTTGTGACTTTGATGTTGTAGAGCGCTCTGACCGGCGATCTGCATCGTCCAAGGGACCAAGACTATCAGCGAAGATTTCTAGCTTCAAAATGTACTCCATCTCTGTTCGTCTCTCTCTTTCTCTCTTTCTTTTTTTTTTTTTTTTGAGAATGTAAACAATAAACCCCATCCATTTCATTCAATCTGATCAAACAATGATGCTAATAAAAGTTGGCAATTTTTTTTATATGATTTGATTCGTTTTTTGTTCATTTTCCTTGCATTAATTTGTTGCCAAGTATAAAAAACTTCTTAATCAATGTAAAATCATTTGAATGCAAGTGTTCAACAATCAAGCATTTCGACTGATAAATATGTCTCCTTTTATATATATAAATCTGTTGGTTTTGTCGAATGGGTTGAGACGTGGAGGGGGTGGGCTTGCATGCCTTGTTTAAAAACAGGGATGAGATGGGAAAATAAACGATACTGTATTTACTTAACGGGGCTGGGTAGGATTTTGATAAACCTGCCCTGTTGCAATCCCTTTCCTCAATTTCTATGTATTATAATAGTGTGTACATGAGACATCTCAAATTCGGAATTTTCCGTGAGCTACATCTGTTATCAATCTCTCTGCTTCCACTAATATACGTATATCCAGTATGATGTTTGTTTATTGCACTACGGAATACATGTATATCCTGCATATATATGATGTTTGTTTATTGCACTACAGAATAAGTTCCTATTTGTTTTGACGCATCTCATTTGTAGACTTGTTTTTTTATCGAGTTATGCGTTTCACGAATCAGGTGCTGTTTAGGAGTTGGTTCCGGTTGCCCCTAATAAAATCATATCTGATATATCCGCCTCAACTCATGTCGAATTTAATTGCAGTTTACCTGATCTTTATTTCTTTGCATCCAGGCCTTGAAGATGGTGGTGGAACTGCAGTTTCACGGTGATCTCAGATTGAAGCTCTTTGAGATCTTTGTGTGGATCAGCTGATACTGATTAATAAATGTGATGGATGTTCTATTTGTAAACAGTGTACTTTTGATTTTTTCTTCTACTGTCTTTTGATTTGTGAAGCATTGAATAGTGGATTTAAATTGTAAATGCAATACTCGAGTCATTTTTATACCACTCGGTAAGTTTTAGTGGGATTTATGGTTTTACTGTTGCAATTAATTAACATGTTCGTTGTCATGTGCTCAGTATAATAAAGTTCGATGGTCATTGAGAGCGGTTGTTTAATAGAAAGAATGTTGCACTATACATCGTATCTCTTTTGATGAGTAAAGAGTAATCCACCCACTTTAACTAATTTTGAAAGCATGCGCCTTCAGGACTTCAAATGTAGAAGTTTAATTACATTTTGCTCAGGGAGACGATATTGGGTGAGCCGGGCATATTGGGTGAGCCGGGCATATAACGATATCCTGTGAGATTGATTTTTTATTATGGCATCAACTTTTTATCAAATAGAGAGTTTATTGCGCAAAATGTACTTTTAAGTAATTGCCTCATAATTCTTATATCTATCCATACGAAGAAGAAATCATGTAATGAATGGGATTTGGGATTCTTATCATGTAACGAATGGGATCTGGAATTCAGATTTGAACATGCCAAATGTGTGTTTAGTTTGACATGTGCGAGGGGCAATTGGAGAGAGAAATTTACAATTTACCTGATTCTGTATATCTCCTAAATTCTTAATTGTAATTAATTATATTTCCATTCATTCTCATTTTCATTTTTGTTTTTTAAAACCCAATTTTAAAAAATTTGATTCCAAACACAATGAAGAAAATGGTGTGGAGGAGATAAAGGTCAGAAAAAAGTAATTTGCTCTAACCAGTTAACTTGTTCATCTGATTCTAAAATAAACCCAGGTATGATATGTATAAAAGAAATGGCTGAAATTATAAAACTCCCAATACTATTAGTTTTTTTATCATAAAATCCCAACTTGTTTGTAAACATCCTAATAGTTTTACAAAATTATCATTTTGCCCAAATTTGGTCAATGAACCATTAAAGGGCTTGTTAAATGACTAAATTACCCTTATGATATACCACTTTATTTAAAAAAACAAATTTTCATATTTTACAAATTACAACATTATCCTCATGCACAAAACAAATAAAAATAAAATTAGGGTTAAAATCATAAAACCCTAGCAACTCTTAAATTTTGATCATAAAATTTCAATCTGTTTATGAAAATCCTATACTTTTAAAAAGTGATCACATGGCCCTAATATCCATGTCCGACCTAGGGATATGAAATGACAAATTTAACTTTACTATTTAATATAAAATTTTTTAAAAAAATTATTTTTTAAAATTACAAAAATACCCTTTAGTCTTCTTTTCACCCCTTTGTCTCTCTAAAATTCTCAACACTATCTCTCCCTCTCTCTCACATTATTTTAAAATTTTTAAAGGGTATTTTTGTAATTTTAAAAAATAATTTTTAATATAACTTTAAATAGTAAGGTTAAATTTGTCATTGCATAGTCCGATTAACCGGTTGGTTACGGATATTGGGGTAATGTGATCACTTTTTTAAAGTGCAGGAGTTTTTAGAAATAGATTTAGATTTTATGATTAAAATTTTAAAATATTTGGGATTTTATGATTTTAACCCTAAAAATTAATAACACATTATAGACACATGTTTTTGGGTAGTTTTGTTACTAAAATTTGATTACGCATGTGAAAACCAAGCCTAGATTAACGTCAAAACTAATAGAATTAGGGCACAATGATAACTTTGTAATAGATTTTTACAAACAAGTTGAAATTTTAATAATGTTATTATGTTGAATTTACACAACAAAAAAAAATTTATTTAAAAAAAGGTGAAAAACACTCGCACCCACATCGCGCGCTAGGGTGTGTTTGGATGGAATGATTTGGAGGGATAGGACAGGGTGTGTTTGGATGTGATGATTTGGAGGGACAGGAGAGAGAAAAAAAGAAAATGAAATGATAGGGTATGAGTGTGTTTGGGTAGGTTAAATGGAGAGAAAAGAGATAATAGGGAGAGATATCCTTCCCTATCCCTCATTTGCTTTCCCTCCAATTTTGAAAAGATAGGGAGAGAAAGCATAGTGATTTTAGTGGTATTTTAATAATACCAAAACTAGCCTTCACAAATCAATACATATATTTATTATTCCATTCAAGTCCCTGTTATATGCATTTTTTGAAATTTATATCATAATTCTCCATTGTTGTATACTGTAAAAGAAAATAGAGGTTATCCCAGTTTACCATCTATATATATTTGAGTCCCTGTTATATATATATTTAAAATTTTATTTGAAATGTGTTTGATATCATTTCTAGGAATGTATACATATATAATATATGTATAATATATTAAGCATATCCCCACATTTTACAATTTACAATATATTCCTGATACTTTGTGAATCCAAATTAAATATAAATATGGTATCTGATCTTGCGAACAAAAAAAAAAGATCAAAAAAAAGAAAAAAGGAAAAAAGGTACCAATGGTCATATACCAAAAAAAATGCAGTTCTCCAAGTTCATAATTGGAAAGAGGAAAAGAAACAATAAGCTATACAAAATATTTTCCCGGTAGAACAAGGCTTCATGCTCTTGCTTTCTGAAAAATGGGTAGGATAGTAATTTAATTATTATTCTCTTTTTTTTTCTTTTATCTCCTCTTTGTTATCCAAACAAGAATAATTATTATTTATTTTCTTAAATCAGGTACAAAACCTATTTTTAGCATCACGCGTGACACTTTTACTGTCACCGTTTAGACCTCCGTTTGTGGGAGGGGTTTCTTGGCTGAAAATTTAGTCAAAAGGGGTTTATTTACAAAAGATTGATAGTTTATAAGTTGCACTTTACTTTTAATTGAAAAATACGAACCTAGAAGCAGGAAGAAGGCCGTGAAGAAAAAGAAACCCGGTGCTCTCTCCTCTGTGTTTTTATCATACTCAACATCAGGGCTCTCTCTTCTCTCTTCTCTCTTCTCTCTTCTCTATAAATATATTACAAGGTATGTTCATCCTCTCTCTCTCTCTGTCTCTCTATGTCTCTCTCCTTTTGCATGAATCGATCTTTTATATATGTTTCTTTCTTTCGTTCATCTCAACATTTGATTTGTTCTAACTTTGGTTCGTTTGATTTGGGCCTTTACCTTTGTTCCAATAGTGAAAAGTAGCTAGGGTTTTGTGTGTGTGTGTCACTGTGTGTGATGGCTATCAAAAGCTGAATGCATATATTATGGTTCTCTTAGTATTTTAATAAATATGTGCCTTTCTACATGTGTCTTTCATGGCGATCGAGTCCATAATCTATGGCAGATACTTTTTTTTTTCCTCTCCCTAAGTCCACTCCAATCTCACAACAGCAGCAACCATACCCCTTTTCCTCATAATTTTTTGCATTTTCACATTCAATCCCACGAAAATTAAGGATCCCTTCTACTAGTGGGTTGAGGTAATAATTAACTTTTTCGATCTCTAAATTGTACTCATACATAAAAGTGCCAAATTAAGGTTTTTAATTTTAATTTTAATTTTATTTTATTTTTATATGAAGATACATACCACCATTATTGATGTTATTTGAAGTTGGCTCAGCTAGAATTTCAGTTAATAATATTGTCAAAGCACTTGCCATCAGAATGTACAAACACATGGAAATCAAGAGCAGGCTTTAACAAAACAAAAGTTAATGGTTTTTTCTATTAATTTGCACAGGTCTTCTGTAGCAATGATCAATCAATCACTGCAGGTAATTGGCTCCCAAAAAAACACACAAACAAAGTGTAGTGTAGTTGATATAAAGAGTGAAAGACAAAACTATATACGATAGTGGATGCCACATATAACCTAAAAGTCCCACTACTTCTTCTGTACTATAAGTTCAGCCTCCTATATATATATATATATATATATATATATTCACCTCATCTCCACATATATTTTCCTCTGTAATCATAAAATTTTAGTAGCTATATAAACAATGAATGTAAAAGAAGCTCTAGCAAACTGTTCTCTTATTTTTTTTTTTTGTGCCTGTGAAAATTTCGCACTTTTAATTGATAAATTTATTGTTATTAGTTAGCTGTCTTATGCACACTGCACATGCGCACAATTTGCGCACAATTAGTTATTGGTGGTGATAAAAATTTATAGTTATTATTTAGTTGTCTTAAGCACACTGCAATTATTTATTGGTGGTGATAGATTTATACTTATTAATTAGTTGTCTTATGCACATTGTACCGGCGCACAATTATTTGTTGGTGGTGATAAATTTATAGTTATTAGTTAGTTGTCTTATGCACAATGCGCAGGGGCACAATTATATTAGCTATAGAATTTGAAAACATTGTGTTAAAATTTCGCACTCTTATAATTCTTTTTTGTGCGTGTGAAACTCAAGGGCCTCGTATTTGAAAGTTTGCCTAGGGCCTCTCAAAATATTTGGAATCTCAGGGCCGGCGATATATATATATATATATATATATATATATATATATATATATATATATATATTATCGTGTCCATGCATTTGGTCCTATTCATTAAGAATTTGTATATCTTATCGTCGCTGAAGGTTTTTTTATTTACTGATGACTAGGGATGCTTATTTTATTTTATGTGTTGTGAAATGAACTCCTATGTTTTTAATTTTTTTTTATTTTTTTTTTTAATTTTTATTTTTTTTTTTAATTTAGAACATTTTAATGATTGCATTTAGATTCATATATTATACAAAACTGACCAAAAATTAATTGTTTGTATACATAAATATATAGTTTATTATTTTATTATTGCCGTATTTTACCGTACCCGTATCCTTTTTTTTTTTTTTTTTTAGATTTGCCACCCGTATCATGTCGTATCCATATATGTGCTTTCTAGTTTATAATATGTTCCCATTATTTCAATGGTGTAATTACACTATGGTTGCAGTTGAAGAAGGATTAACCTCTAAGTAATTTTTTTTTTTTGAATCATCATTGCTTTATTGATGTCAAGTTGATTGAATGACTGTATCAATGAGAAGGCTGATATGATTAAGATTACATATTCCTTAAATTTTTTATATATATAAATGTAAATATATTATGATTCTTTTTGTTTTGATACTGTTAATTCAGGTGGTGTTATGTTGTGCTTCTCATACCAGTGCTTATGGGTAACTCTGATGGACTGAATTATTTGCTGGCAGCTGGTGTTTGGTGTGCTACATATGCTCTTGTTGCAGTTCTCGGGATTTTTCAGATCTTCAATATCTTCGTTACCTCCATTTTGAATTGATATAGCACTTCAAAAAAGCAATTATGGGCTATGCACAGCTAGTTATTGGCCCTGCGGGCAGTGGAAAGGTTATTGACTTAATTTTTGTCTTTGGTCCATGTTATTACTTATTTGCTAATGAACCGCATTCTTACTTGGGAGATTTAATTTGACACGTGTTTCTTTATGTTTGCATATGGTTGTTTACTAAGAACTTTATTTTTTCTTTTTAACTTCATCTTTGGGCAAAGCATCTTTATATTACACAGTAAACGCTTTTCACTAACTAATGGCTTGTATAAAATTTTCTCCATCAGTCTACTTACTGCTCTAGTTTGTACAAACACTGTGAGGCTGTCCAGCGGACAATCCATATCGTAAACTTAGATCCTGCCGCCGAAAATTTTGACTATCCTGTAGCCATGGGTGAGTAGAGTTCATCTATTTTTTTTTTTTTATTCTGTTGTAAGTTTTATTGATTCGGATTTAGAGCAGCAAAGTGTTATTTGCTTGCAGATATTAGGGAACTCATTTCTTTGGATGATGTTATGGAGGAACTTGGACTGGGTCCAAATGGTGGTCTTATCTACTGCATGGAGTATCCTTGATATTTTTTTGTTCTATTGTTAATCAATTTTCTTTCCATGTTGATCATACATAGCTTAATTCTACTAGAGCTTACTGGCCATCCCAAAGATCATACGCACCTCTTGTAATCCTTCACAAGAGGAGCATGAATTTTACTTCATAATTTAAAGAACATTTATTCTTTTTGTATGATTATTGGATTCAAATTTTGTATGGTCTTAAATCTCCACTCTCAGACACCTTGAAGAAAATCTGGATGATTGGTTGGCAGAAGAACTAGATAATTACTTGGACGATGACTATTTAGTTTTTGACTGCCCAGGTATTTATGGTCCTATTTATAATTACCTATTTATCTATTTCATTATAAAATATTATATTGATGGTGGAATTAGGAGGGCAAGGATATTTAGAATATGTACATTTGCAATGCCTAACCTTTGACTTATTACTTAGTTGCTTGTGTTGTGTATGGGTGAACATTACAAAGCTGTCTAAGGAGTCATTGAACACATATGCAAACACAGAGAGGTGCCTAACCCTAACTACGTTTTTTCCTTTAAACTAATGGGCATAGATGAACGTAATTAAAAAAATCAGTACCTTCCCTTTAGGCATCTTGTTTTCATGTAATTTTATATGTACTAACATGTCTTCATATTCATGTATTGGTATTCTCATATGATGAATGCTAAATTAAGTGTTCTTGTTAGAATGTTTCTGTTGATTCGAATTGACCTTCCTCCTCTCTTAATGTTGCTTGCCTAAAAGATGTTATTCTAGAGATCTCCATTCTCCTCTCTATTTTTTTATTTTTTATTTTTTTATTTATTTTTTGTTTTGTTTTGTTTTGTTTCATAAATCTAATAGCATGCAAAATGTAGTTGGAAACTTTTGCCTAGATATAAGGACTGCCTAGACGTTCCTACAAATCTAAAGCACTATCTTCTTCTTAAAGTTTTGTAATTGAATCCTTTCTCCTTATCAGAGCAGTACTAAAGAAAGAACTTACTGTTTCTGTTGCCTTCTTTAATCTACTTTAAATGAAGTTATTACTTCCTGACATTTCATTCAAAGCCTTTATTTCATGAACATTTGCTTTGAAAACAATCCTCCTTAAATTGATTTATATAGCGTCAGACATTCATCTAGCTCGTCAGGGTTAGCCATTCCATGGCTAGAACCTTTTTCATTATCTGCAGAATGTTTAAAAGGAGTAACTTTTCCAGAATTCATTCCCAGCTACTTACTGTAATTTCATCCCTGCAAGATTTATGTACAATTTAAAGGGATTATTTGAGGGCCACATTCCGAAGTTTGAATCAAACGAACGTTGGCTGAAATTATTGGACATCAATGACGGGGACAATTGTTTGAGGTTATTTTGATTTGGATTTTTGAATAAAAGAAACGAATAGACCCTCTTAAAAAGGTGTAAAACAAAACCTGCCTTGGCTGCAACAAACCAGGAAATGTGACATATCTGAATAAGTGAAGAAGAATTCCTATGATTAGTATCAACGAAATTACCATACCTCACCATGGTTTGAGAAAATATTAAATTGCATTAGAAATTTAGAATGACCATAAAAACACCAATAAGATTCAATTGTGAACCCCAATGTTAAGTTCCTTCTAAAAGCCCCTTCACTATGTATTCTTTTTTCGTCATAGTAGTTAATTTTTATAAATGGATAGGAGTCGAATATAAACTTTAATATAACTTTTGTGCTTCAATTTGTCAATGCAGATTTTCTTATCTCATCATTTCAATTAATGAGGCCCTCTTTGTTTTTATGCCTATTTAGCACAGTTTAATACAATTCACACTTACCCCCAAAAAAGAAAAACTGTAATATATTTGTGTGATGTTGTGGCCCGAAATTTTTTGACCTGTTTTTGCTTGCGGGTCTTGGACCCTGTTTGGGACACTCTTGTAGCCCAGTATATAAGGGAGTTCAGGATTTGGAGTGGGTAATGAGCGCACTGAAAAACTCAGGAAAGAGTGAGAGCGAGAGCTACGTTTTTCACATAATGAAATCTTTTGCTGGATCTTCGTTGTGGAGTTGGCTTACACCGAACCACGTAAATCTTTGTTGTTCTTTGTGTGGCGTGATTCTTGTTTTGTTCTTGGTTTGCTGTGTTTGTCGTAACAATATGCATGATACACTTATATCAAGAGAACCATTTCTGTGAACCAGATTCTATGATATTTACATAATAGTATTTGTTTTATTTGCTAAATGTATAAGTTAAATCTAATGATATGCATCCTGGTTAGTTCATAATGTTGGCTGTACTTGGTTAATTGTGTTGGTTTAGGTATAGTTAGGTAACTCACATTCAATACCTGTAATACGGAACATTTTCAGAAGAGTTATTTCAAGAATTATCCTACAGTACAAATTTATAATATTTTTATTAGCTTCTCCCCGCTATTCTTATGAAAGAAAGTTTGTTCCCTGTTTCCAAGGCCAACTTACCATATGCAGTATGTCATGTAGTGTGGGAATGTTGAGGCTCATTGTTTTTGTACTTCTTTTATCTCAACAGGATTACATTTTATATCATCAAGAAATATTTTTGATTATTTTATAGGCCAGATAGAACTTTTTTCGCATGTTCCCGTGCTTAAGAACTTTGTGGAGCATTTGAAGCGTAAGAATTTCAATGTTTGTGTCGTGTACTTGCTTGATTCACAGGTTTGTATAAGGTTTTCTCCACTTATTCTAATTAATTTCAACATTTTGTTTCTTGCACTGGTTATGCCCCATAATTTTACCAAAACCGAGAGTTTAATTCTGTTTTGTTTTGTGTGTTTGTGCGTAGTTCATGACGGATGTGACAAAGTTTATAAGTGGTTGCATGGCTTCACTTTCTGCAATGGTGCAACTTGAACTGCCCCATGTTAACATTCTCTCCAAAATGGACCTCGTGACGAACAAAAGGGATATTGAAGAGTGAGCCCCTTTACATTAACTACTCTTTTCTACATTTAAGGTTGTTTTACTCTTTTACATTTTAATATATTTTAACCTTTTTGCTCTCAGTTACTTAAATCCGGAGCCTCAAGTTTTATTGTCAGAGTTGAATAGACGCATGGCTCCTCAGTTTGAAAAGCTTAATAAATCTTTGATTGAATTGGTGAGTTCTAAAGCAGGACATCTTTTATAAATAAATTCTATATTAATTGATATGCGATTTTGTAAGAAAGTGATTAACATATCTTGGTTCTTCTATCAATAAGATAGTGAAATTATTTCTATTTTTAAACCAAAAAGGAGTTTCAATTTATTACTACATTAGGTTAAAAAGTTTTAGTTCTAATGCTGATGGCATCAACCAGCACTCAAACCTTTGTGTAAGTTTTTTGTTAAAAAGAACCATCCCATTGTTAAGTTTGCTTAATAGAGCTCTCCGGGAATAGCAACTTGGTTGAACAACTGCTATTGGCATGATGAGCTTCTCCTCTATGAATTAATGATGAATTGGACGAGCAGCCCTTTTGATTCTATGATCTTTGATGTTGGGTATGTTTGCAACATATATAGGTACATAAATTGGTGTATATGTCAAATATCTACATCTGTATATATTTTAAAATCCTTATTGGAAAGTAGTTTCATTATTCATTCACAGCAAGGATACATTTGACATTTTTCCCTATAATATACAATAATTTGTTAGGATATTTTTTTCCTTTCATAATCTTGTAAAGTGTTGATTATTATTATTTTCTTATGTTTCATTAGCATACAGGGGGATGCTTGGATTGTTTTATAACTACTTTTTAAATACTTTTTGTAGGTGGATCAGTATAGTATGGTGAGCTTTGTGCCTCTTGACTTGAGGAAAGAGAGCAGGTACTCTCTCTCTCTCTCTCTATATATATGTATATATCTCTCTCCCTTTCTCTTCATGTGCTTGTGCACACACTTATCACATGTATGTCTGCTTGCATGTGCATGCAGATATGAGTACCAAAGTCCTATGTTTGCACACACATAAAGGATTGGAACCTTGCTACTAGGGTAATTATGTTGATTGTTACTATGATTTACTTTAGTTACACAGGGACCTCTACTTTGGTTTGAAAATTTTCAGTAATACTCCCTCTTGGACTCTCTGGAAATGGACACAATGGAGTTCCCTTATTTCCCCCACAATGTTATAAGATTTTCTATATTTCCTTTTCTGTTTTGTGGATAGGTGTAGCCAGGGGGAGCTTGTCCCACATTGGATCCGGATGGAAAAGTGAATGGGTATATACTGATTGGGTGTTAGCCCCACCTAATAGCTTAAGCTTTTGCGTTGGATCGTGAAACACCCATTTGTTATAGTTGGTATCAGAGCCAGACCCAGTCCTTGACCTGGTGTCACGCCAAGGGCTCGGCTCGGAGGGCGACCGGGTCTGCAAACCGGGTAGGCAGGGTGGCCCGAGCCGCAACGAGGGCGTTGCGAGCACAGACAATTCCCTATAATCAAATATTAATCAATTCCCTATCAGCCCCATCTCACTACCTTAATATGATTAATATTTGATTATAGATAATTCAAAATTAAAACCCAGCCAGAATCAGCCCGAGTCACCATCGTATAGTTTCTTCTGATCCACCACCAAAACCAGTTCAGCTGTGTGAAAACTTCTGTAGAGGCTATCAGATATGTAATTTTAATTTTAAGCTTTTGGAATTCGAGTTTCTTAATTTAGGATCCCATTGTGAGGGTATGTCGGACTAAAATTCGTTGAGGGTTGGTCAGATCTCCAAAACAGAGGGAGGAGCATAGCATGTATTCTCTGCGTGACTTTTGTTTTGCAATATGGTGTATGCATGTATATTTGACTCGACTGCTTGTGCTTTGTTTTTGTGTCTTGAGCTTACAAATTTCAGTAGAATCAGGATGGGTAACGAACCTGACTGTTCTTGTCTTGACTGCTTGTGCTTGTTTTGCAATATGGTGTATGCATGTATATTTGACTCGACTGCTTGTACTTTGGTTTTGTGTCTTGAGCTTACAAATTTCAGTAGAATTTTGTCAACTCCTCAGTTCCCTCTATAGGATTAAATCCTCATGAAGGCGACCAAGGTGGGGGTAAGTAGGTGTGCGTAAAAAGCATTAAGCTTGAGTTTATGTTAGGTTGGTCAATATTAAAGTTCAGAACATGGCAATGGAAAAAATACTTCCCTTAATGGTGAAAAATCAGGATGGGTAATGAACCTGACCGTTCTTGAATAGCTCAGCTCCAGGTCAAATTGAGCTTGTTTAATAAGCAAGTGAACTGAGCTCAAGCCCCATCTCCAAGCTCGTTTAATAAACAAGCCAAGTCCCAACCCATGCTTTTGGCTTATGTGTTCCGAAGTTATATTACTGACGACTTTGACTAACATTGGGCTTTTCCTTTCCTTTTCAGTATACGGTATGTGTTGTCACAAATTGACAACTGCATTCAATATGGAGAAGATGCAGATGTGAAAGTTAAGGATTTTGATCAAGATGCTGATGATTAGGGGCTCTAATCTGTTGGCTGCTTATGAAAACTCGTTACTTGAGTTGCAAATACTTGACAGAGGCCATTCAATTGGTGTTGTTTTAAGAACAAAAGTTTCATATAACCAATCGAAACAGTGTAAGGATCTTTTGCAAGAAAGCTACTTCAGTGTTGGACCTTAAGTAAGCTACTTAAAGGTAGTTTCATCTTGTCATTGCAGGTTTTACATTTTAAACTTTTATCTCCCCAAGGATTTTACCTCGAAACATTGGCCTCTTAAAATCTGGATGTATCCAAATATTACGACACTATTTTAATTTACTTGAGCAACAATACAGAAACAGTGACTGGTGAGCATTCAAAAGTTCGAGCATGGTGTTCACTCACCATCTTCATCGTCGATTTTAATTTGGCTCTTCTTTCCAGGTTGCTTGGCTTATTCAGATTGTGTCCGTCACAGAAACAAAATTTGCAGTCCGTCATTTTTCAGTCAATACCTTGGCCTTTTTATTTTTTATTTTTTTACAGCAATACATTGGGCATTGCAAATAGCAGTAATTTGATCCGTACCATCAAGGAAACGGTCAATCAAACGTTTTATATTTATTATTTTTTGTGGGATGCTGGAGAATATATATGTATATTACATGCCGACGTGCAAAGCCGAAGAAGAAGATAAAGGTGGCCGGCAATGTGGAATTAATTATTATGTCTGTTAGTGTTGAATTTATTTGCTTCAATTAATTGAATGAAACATTTTCTTATTGTTTTGCAGTAGCAGCATAACAATAATTACAGCTACCTTTAACTTATTAATCTTGCCTTCCAAATGAAATACTCTTTTATATATATATATATATATGTATATATTATTATGCTTGCAAAATATGCAAAAAGAAAGAAAAATATGAATTTATAGTTTACTATCTCTTATAATATATAAATTTTCATAAAAGTTGGCTGTGTTTGGTTTATAAACCATGTCAAAATATAAATTAATAAATATATATATATCAAAAATTGTATTATGGTAAAAATTGTATTATGGTAAAAATTGTATTATAGTGATATTCTTAAAAGATTGAGAGTTTAAGTCCGTATCACATTATTTATACTTTAATATAATTACATTTGATCTTAAAGGTATATATATATAAATAAATTATATATTAAAATATTAATTTATAGTTACGAAATTTTACTTCTATTTAGTAAAAATATAAATTAATTATTCAGTAATTTATAACTTATATATATATATATATTTGACAAAAGTATAACTTATTATAAAATAAATTTGAAGGGTTTATTTGTCTTTAAATGGTAAGAAAAGTAAAGGGATCGTAAATTTTGCAGACAGAAGTGGCATTTTTAGAAACGCAAACGGAAAGAGTCGGGTCAATTGTTCGCATCTTGACATGATAGGATTAAAACTGTTGGGTCCCACTCGCGCGTGGCATAAAATAAAAATCTTTCTTATTAATACCGAAAGTCAATAGAGTTCCCTCTCGCCCTTTCCTCGACTCTCAACTGCCTTTCCAAAATGCAAATGAAAAAGATATAGTACTAATATTCATCTCTATACTCTCTCTCTAAAGTGCAAAAGGAAAGATTTGGTGTTTATCAGTCAACGGATCCAAGTTATCCGAAACAAAACTAATATGAATTTTGATCTCATCAAAGATGTCCCAAGCTGATGTCTCTTACAGGTTCACTCTAATTTCAACTCTCTCTGGATTAATTTATATAATTATATATCTATGTATATCGATTCCCACTATGTGTTTTTGTGATTGTTTGGTGAATCAAGATAGATTATTGGATCACTTCAATTTTTTATTGTTATTTACCGGATTATATTTTTTTCTTTTTCTTTTGATTGCGATCTTGCTGGTTTTTATGTACAAGTGTTTCACGATGATCTGTAAGTTTATGTTGATGGTTCAGCTTATTTGTCTTGATCATGACTAACCTTTTTTTTTTTTTTTTGTGTGTGTGGTTAATTTGGCTATTGAATCATCTCAAACCTCAAGAAAGTCAAAGGGTTCGCAATTGTAGATAATTTTGAGAAATATATATGTATCAATGCAGGTGCTAATGTCAATTGTAAATTGTTTAGGCTTGTAGGATCTTTTTGGAAGTTGAGCAAATGTTAAGAGCAGAGGGGACTCATAAATTTTTAGTTGATTTTAATTGGTACATAACTTATATCAAGTTATTCAGAATGTCAATATTTAGGAGCATGAAATGATGAATGAAAAATGATTGTGTAGTTAAAAGATTGAAAGGAGGTGGCAAAAAACTTGACAATTTAAAACAAGCTTTTCAAGCACTTCGTAAACCTAATTGGTTACTTCCAATAAGGCAGATTTCTTTTTTAAATACATCATCATCATCCTTGCCTTTATCCCCCACCAACGGGGTTGGCCACATGGATTCTCTTTTTCCAATCCTTTCTATCATGAGCCATTTCTCCTATTAGATTTATTTTTTTAAAATAATTTCTTATCACTTCATTCCATGTTAGTTTTGGTCAACCTCTTAGCCTTTTACCTTCTATGCATATCAATCTACCTCTCCTCACTGTCGCATGTATAGATTGGCATTGAATATGCCCATACCACCCAATTCTACTCTCTCTTATTTTCTCACTAATAGGCGCTATACCTAATTTCTCCCTAATTCTCTAATTGTTAATTTTACCTCTCCTAGTTATTTCCAACATCCATCTTAATATTCGCATTTCAGCCTCATGGATGTGTTGTTCGTGTTTTTTTTTTAGCGCCCAACATTCCGTTCCATGTAAAATAGCCGGTATAGTGATGGTTCTATATACTTTTCCTTTTAGCTTAATTGGTATTCGTTTATCGCATATAACCCCACTAGCATTCCTCCCCTTTGTCCAACCTAGTCCAATTCTACTACTTTCATCATCATCAACCTCTCAATCTTTTTGTACAATTGATCCCATGTATCGAAATTAGATAATTTGAATAATGCTTTGGTCTTGAATTTTTATTACTGCATTATCATTCTCTATAGCGCTATTAAATTTACATACCATGTATTCCATTTTTGTTCTACTATTTTGACTCTAGTGCATTTCTCCAATCTACTAATTTTGTTGCTAAGGTTTCCTTAGAGTTATCCAGTAGCACTATGTCATTCGCAAATAACTTGCACCATGGAAGGTGTCCTTGCAAGTCTTTCGTTATTTCATCTAATATTACCAAAATAAATATGGATTTAGTGCCGAACCTTGGCGTAATCCTACTTTTATAAGGAAAACATTCGTCTCTTCACATATAGTACAAACTCTAGTCTTAGTATCCTTATACATATCCTGAATAAGTTCTATAAATCTTTCCGGAATATGTTTTCTTCATAGGCCCCACCAAATCATTTCTCTAATTTGGGGCTTTCATGTAGTTTATGCTCTCTAAGGATTTCACTTTACTAGGAAATCCCCCCACTGCTATCAAATGCCTTCGCTAGGTCTTTAAAAACCATGTGGTTTTTTTTTTTTAAATATGGGAACACAAATTATGAGCTAGTATCTCCATTTTCCTTGCATTGCTTCTTAGGACAAGCATTTTATTATATCAACTTGACAATGAAAAATACACATCCCCTTTCTTCACTATAATTAGGAACAACCTTCTTTTGGCAATTCTAGTTCAGAATTGTTCTTGTTGGATGTGAGGTGGTTAGTCTCATGGGTCAGCAAGTCTTTGTAAGGTAATATTTGGGAATATTATTATCAAGGTCCATTAACGTTGTTTTGTTTGTCATGTAAATAAAAGGAAAAACTTTTATTTGCCCCTGGTAAAAAAATGTGTGCACGTATCCTTCGTTGTCTATTCTAATAGTAGCAAAGTTTTCATGTTCTTCTCTTTTTCTTATTTATTCGTTTCTTTCAAAAGTATGCGTAATTAAACTTCCAACTGTTTCCAGACCGAAGACAGCGATATCTTTCCAAATTCAAGTTCTGCCTTAAACAGCAGTTTTCTTGACACCCTATTGGATGGCCGCCACAATCAAGCACTGGGATTGAAATCTCATCCTGTTGGCTTGGAATGGAATGAAACTACTATACCCGCACCCCCCGAGTAATCTCAAATCACTTTTTGATTCAAAACCGTCACATGGGGGTTGGGTGGCTTGAGATTCCATAGTTTGTGGGTCATTAATTCAGATATCATTCCACTATTAAAATCATGCCCCAAATGCTGGAAAGGGTTGGCATTGGAATGAGATTCAAATGCTCAATTCCTATCATGGCCTATTATTTAACATCATGAATATTGACTTTTTATGTTTACCTTATTGTTGATTTGGATTGACATTCTTATCCGAACTAAATAAATTAGAACTCTCTCTCTCTCTGACTGTGTGGGTGTGGTTGAAATTGGTAGAGAAAATTAGGTTTAACCAGTAAAGCTGTTCCTACTTATTTAGTTGTAATTCGATTCTCTTATACTGGGAATCTAACAATCCTCGCTCAAAATTTTTTTGGTTGCTCTTTTAATCTTTGACAGAAGGGTAGTGGCTCAACCAACTTCTGTTTTTTGTATCTGTTCTCTTTTTTTTTTTTTAGTTTTTAGTTTTTTTACATTTTTTAAATAACAGAGGGTGTCCTAGCCTCTTATTGCGGACTATTCCCTTCAGATACACGCAATCATCCCCAAACCATGGGTATAGGGTAAACCTAGTCCTAGGGCAGAGGTTTTTGATGCTTCCACAAGACCAACTGGGCTAATGGCCTAGTGGTAGCAACTGCTTAGTTTCTTGTTCATTTATTGTTTTTTTTTTTTTTTTTTTTGCCTGACCCTTTTTTTCCTTTTTAGTTTATCGTTAAATTACTCCATTTTTCTAGTTAATAAGGTGCAAGTTAGGCTAATTATTTTTGTGCTAGATGCCAGATTTTAGTAACTATATGTCCAATATAATAGGTCTTCTTTTTTGTTTATATTTGTAAATACCTATCCAACCATTTAACTCTTGTTAACCACCACCAGCTTGGAGAATCTCGATCATGCAGCATTGTTACTTCATAGGGCCAAAGCATTTAGAATTTGAATGGTTGTTGATGAATATTGTGCATGTAGTTGAGTCAGCAAACACTCTTCTTTGTTTTAACTATATGTCTATTAATTTAATTCTCTGGGATTGATTCCTGACAGGTGCAAAAAATTCCTTGGAGGGGGTGTGTGTGAGTAAACACTTGGAAATATATATATATATATAATTTTCTTGTTTCTGAATATGATGTATATTATGGTTGCATGTCACTTGTTGGATTAATGTAATTTCCTCTTTACTTTCTCTGCAGCTGTGGATCTTGTGGGTACCCTCTGAACTTATCCTCTTCTAATCGCATTTCTGGCATAGGTTCTGAGTATCACAAATCCATTAAAAAAGGCTATATCTCCTTCCTCTCCATCGATCTCAGTCGTTTCACTCAGGTTGATGAGGTAAACTGTCTTCCTTTTCCTTGGGGTCGATATCGTTCCAAAACCAAGCTTCTTTGTCGTAAATGTGGGGCTCTAATTGGTTACGGATGTGGAGACTCACCTGCTCTATGTGGTTTTGACTCACCCACTTCATCTCGCTCAGCTTATAAAAAGTTCATGATAAAGATCCGAACTTTACAACCTTCAGAAGAGTGATAGAAATCTGACATGGAGAATCCTTCTAGAGACGGTCCTACCTCCATTATGTACCTTCCTGATGATTGCCTGTATATTATTTTCCAAAAGCTTGACAGTGGCTCTGATCGCGAATCATTTGGTTTGACTTGCCATCGCTGGCTTCATATTCAAAACTCAAGTCGTCGATCCTTACAGTTCCTATGTTCGTTTGGCCTACTTAACCATCCTTCATTATCTCAAAGTAGCCACGGCAATAATGTCTTCCAGTTTTATAGTTTACTGAATCGCTTTCGGCAACTACAATCATTGTCCTTATCTGGGTGCATGGATCTACCTGATTCAGCCTTGAGTCAGCTGCAAAATTATGGCTCAAAGCTGCAGAGTCTCTATTTAGATTGCTGTTTTAAAATCACCAATAATGGACTCTCCTCGGTTGCTACTGGCTGCCCTTTGTTGACATCTATCAGTCTTTACAGGTGCAATGTTAGTGACATTGGCCTAGAGACTTTGGCAAACTCTTGCTTAGATTTAAAAGATGTGAATCTCTCATATTGTTCACTTATATCTGATCATGGAATAAGTGCTCTTTCACAAAAATGTCGTCAGCTTCAAGCAGTCCGGATATCTTACTGTCGGAGCATAAGCGGTGTTGGCTTTAAAGGCTGCTCACAAGCGTTGGCTTACTTAGAAGCTGATTCCTGTAAGCTTGAACCAGAAGGGGTTTCGGGAATTGTTAGTGGAGGTGGGCTCGAGTATCTGAATGTTTCTAGCCTAAGCTGGGTCAATGGTGGTGGTTTGAGAGCAATCGGGGCTGGGTTAGGCACAAGGTTAAAAATCCTTAATTTTCGTATTTGCAGAACCATTGGAGATGAGTCTATTGTGGCAATTGCTAAGGGGTGTCCATTACTTGAAGAGTGGAACTTAGCAGTATGTCACGAGGTTAGGATATTAGGGTGGGAAGCAATTGGGTTTTATTGCTGTAATTTGGCGAGACTTCATGTGAATCGGTGTCGGAACTTAAGTGATCGTGGGTTGCAGGCTCTGAGAGATGGCTGCAGAAAGCTCTCAATTTTGTACATTAGTCAGTGTCATGAAATCACTTCTACAGCAATGGAATTGTTCAAGTTTTTAAGAGCTGATGTGGAGATCAAAGAAGAAGAAGTGATGTGTATTGCGCCTGTCTGGGCCTTTCAAAGATTTAGGTAAAACAATCAATTTGACAGACGAAGATGATAGAAAAAAAAAAAAACTCAATGCAAACTAATGCTTCAACTTACGTAAAGCTCGAACCTAGCTGAAGATGTATGTATCAGCAGAAGGGTCTCAACTTCTCAAGTGACTGGTAAGATTTTATTTATTTCGAAGTTATATTGATACATTGTTAAACATCCCATTGTTTGTAGCTTGGGTACATATTCTTATATCAATAGTAATTAACCTGTTTATCGCTAAATATTCCATTTTATACTCGCTTATCCTTTCTATTATTATGATATCAGTATTATTATTATTTTTATTTTTGTGACCGTTTGAATTGTTTGGTTCCAACTGCACCTTGAACCTGCTTGATCCCCAGGTTATTCTGTCAGTTCAAGCACCGCTTGCATAGCTCAATTAATTTTCCCCAACGGGGCTTTACCAGTATGATCATCAATTGATCAAATCAGGGCATGTTACCCAAGTCTCGATTGGGTTTAAAACCCGATTGATGTACCCGATTCACAATGTGTCAATAGTTGAACCAATCATCTGAAAAAAAGAGAGACTCCTATCGATTACTGTGTTAGAGCTCTGAACAATCGCCAAATGTTGCTCCTGTTTTTCACCTCACAATATGGGAAAATAAGTCTCTATATACAGCGTGCAGACGTGGGTTTTAAATTCTTCATGGATAAATGAGCTGCAATAATCTAGATAAGGGTCTTAAGGTTCATTTGAATAAATGAATAGATTTGGAAGGAGAAATATTTTATTACAGTAATAGTGGAATTTGGACCTCTATTGCCAAGAATTTCAAATCTCTCCTCACTTGTTACACCCTGCTTCATTTGTTAGGAGAGAGAGAAGGAAGAGATTGAAGGGTAATATCATAATTTAAATATTTTATAACAGCATTGTTTTTTTTGTCCATATTTGAAAGGATGAAAATTTATAAAAAATGAAGGATTTTGAGGTTGGGAGCTAGGATTGGGACTTGACTCGTTTATTTGAACTTTAGTGAAGACCCTACGAATGGATAAATTCATATTTGAACGATCTTATTAGTAAAAAAAAAAAAAAAAAAACAAGGGCCATCACGCAGCCAGGGAAAAGGGCTGCTTGCTTCCCAAGTTTTACATTTGAATTATATATATATATATATATAAATATCGGTCAAAAGCCATCATGCAGCCAGGGAAAATGGCCTTCAGAAACTTGTTCAGACTAGAACGTCTTTAAACACAACTTTGTAACTTGATTATAATAATACAAATGGAGAATTATTTAAACAGAACTTTATTGTAATAATACATGTAATAAAAGAGGATTAACAATTATATTAATTAGAATTAATGACTTAGAAAATAATTTTACAATATTAACTTGGAATGCATGCGTACGTGTATATTTTATAGGATATTATTATAAGTAACATTAATTTAATGCACTTTACTTTTGAAGGGAAATGATATTATGTCCTCCAAAAAGTATTAGTGGTATGCTTGTGACAAAAAGTAGTGCATTTGCGGCTTTGCACATAATTTGAAAATGAAGAACAAGCCTCAAATCAGATTCATCGTACAGGTGCAAAGGATAAAGGATAAAACTAATACCCAAACGATATGTGGAGAGAGAGAGAGAGAGATAGGCTTCCTTTATTTAATGCAGAGAACAATTCCAGTATACATAGATATATACAACAATGGCAGCATCATTTCCATATCTATTCTTACATCCATACAGACTACACAGTACTTCCATTTCCATTCGCTCCTTACGCAGGATGGACAGAAAGCTAGAGACCAAAAATTAGTTACCAATCGTTCGGAAAAAAATAATAAAAAAAAATCAGTTACCAGTATGATCTCCCCAGACACCGTCCCATGCACCACTTGGAGCAACCTTGGGTCCTTCGACGTAGTTCTGATTCCCATGAGGAACTTGAGGTCGCGGAAGTCCATCGGGTCCAAGTGGATGATGAACTCTCTTGGGCTTTGTTTTGACCCCAAGCACTCTCAACACAAATCTGGCCAGTTCCCCATACAATAACCCTGAGCGATCAAACAGCTGCAAATGATACATCCATGAGTCATTTAAGCAAAACATCTTGGGTAGGTTCAAACTGTAGAACATGACAGCAATATCAGACTAATTCAATCGCTGAGTTTGGGATTACAAGGGCAATCCTACAATCCATTTTTGCAAATAACTAAATGGGGAGAGTAAAACATGACAGCACCTGAAGAAGTGCAGACATGAACATGTGGAATGCTTGTGTATTCTGGTCTATCAGGATTGCGATCCGACCGAAAAAGGTTACTACGCCTTGCATCTGTACACATCATATAATCAAATACATACGCACATCAAAAAGGAAAAAAGAAATAAAAACAAATGTACATTATGGCACAGATAAAACACAACTTAAGCCTAGTAAAATATATATAAAAAATTTAACACCACCCAGAAATTATTGGCTGCTAGAGGTTGTGATTTAACAGAAGGAGAAGAATAACTTGTAATTCGCAGTTTAAATAATTTATATAATGGCACACACAATTGCATGCTCTTGCAGCCCCCCTTCTCAAATAAATAAGAATTTTTTTTTCCGTCTCACCAAGTTTTCCCATGCTTATCTTAAGAACTTTAAAATAAAACCCTGTTAACTTCATCCACGATGTGGGTGCTACCAACTTGAACTAGTAAGAGCAAAAAGTTAAATGCAGAAAAATTGCATGGGCGGTAGCACACATAATAGGAAACGTATCAAGTACTGAACACAGTGGCTGTGAAAAGTCCAGACTACCAGAAACAAGCACTTAAATCATCTATTTTTTCTTGTCTGAGGCCGATATTTTGGTTCAATCCAGATCCTTTACTCTAATTACTTTAAAGCTAAATTTGCGTAAGGTGGAGCTGAAAGAATCATCTCAGCCAAGTTATCAAAGAAGCAGTATAATACATGGTCAGCTAATAGTATCATTTCTGCCAGATGGAAAATTCAATCCACGTCAACTAGGATAGGTCTTCTCATTCCAACTATGCCTCATCTAGTTTTCCTGAATGAGCTCTCCCCTATCACGGGATCTTAAAATACAATTTTGTGAGAAAAGGAGGGGAAAGATTGAAACTTCCTGATCTTGAAAGGCCAACTACAAATTGACAGCAACCCTTAAGATTAACAATTGCAGTAAAGGATAAAATTTAGAATCATTTAATCTTATAGTCCTCATATGGGCAGCCAACCACATCATACATTTGGCAAACTTTACTTTTCCGATAATATACCAGAAGATGTTCAGAATGCATAAAAACTTAAAAGAGCCAAAAGAATGTGAATGCTCTAAACGAACAACTTCTCTAGTGTCAGACTGTCAGTAATGCATATTAAAAAGTAAACAAAGGAAGATATTCATCTTGAATTACCATTCGCAAGAACGACATCCAAAAGCCTGGTGGAGAGGACGGAGCACCAAATGGATTATTTGGATCCTGATCACCATATGGACCTCCCATGCCCATCCCATAACCACCCATTGTGCCTCCAAAACCACCCATTGTGCCTCCCAAGCCACCCATTGTGCCTCCCAAACCACCATTGTACATTCCCCCACCGTACATGCCAGAACCTCCATAAAGGCCACCATAACCTCCTCTATACATGTTGTTTCCATACAATCCTCCATATGAACCTGACATTCCCGAACCATAACCAGAATTATAATTCAAACCAGAACCATAGCCTGTATGGGCACATCAAACAAGTCCATCAGAATCATAAAATAATGGGTTAAAGACTTCAACCTAAGCATATAATGTATGTTATTTGATTTCAACCTAACTATTAGTGTGTTGGTTACTGCTTACTAGCTGCGTAGAATACAAGATTCTACCTTGATTTTTATGCATGGTACATACAATCTGAGTCAATGGTGTAAACCAGAAAATTGAGGGTCTAGTTTGCTTGTTCAAACACCAAAGGCCTGAAGGCCAGTTCTAAAAACACCAGTATACGGTATTGATATACTATGATTCACAACATAACGCCCAGCAGAATCAAGAAACACACATAATGTGACATAGATATAATAAATATAAAGCACATTTAGGCAAGATATGAATAATTTTAAGAACAACACAAATGAACCCACATTAAGTCATTGTGCAAGATTATTGTGATGAAATTTGTAAATGAAGCACGATGAAAAATTAGAACAATATGTACCTCTGTAAGTGCTGCCATAAGTCTGCTGCTCCCAAGGCCTTGTGGGTACAGGCCTCCCAAGTGCATTTCTGTTTACGGTCATATTCCTATCAGCTGTGGAAACAATTTCACCATGTTGTGCGGTTCCAGAAGCCTCAACTACATCACTGGTGCTACCAGAAGAGGGAGGTTTGAAAGGCGCAGGACCGGTTGATGAACTAGCTCTTTCCCAGGGTTTTGGAGGAGAATTATTAGCTGAAATGGAAAAATGAACCAAAAGCAAATAAATGAAAATGAATTGCAATAATTTCAAGTGGAGCACATTGGAAAATGAAAATTTGGGATAGAAGGCATAAAAAATAGAACAAAAAGGGAAAGGGCACGAAACCATTACTGAGATTCTCTGAGCTGCTAAGCAATACTAAAGTCTAAATTGAAACTAATACTGGATATGGAGTCAGGGTGTATAAATCCTCATCTCTCTTCTATTGTGACATATTGAATTATCAATGTCACCATGTTCTCCAAACATTTGAGTCCAAATGAATTTATATGTGGCCATTGTTACTTCATATTTAAATGAATGACATGTGACAAGAAATATATTATCTGATAAGCACAGAAACAAGTGGCAAGAAAATCATCCATTTTGCAATTTGCACAGATGTCATTCCAATGAATAATGGCCAAGAACAACTGATAATCTGATATCCTCAGGGGGTCTTCTGCCATCAGCAGGACTGGTCACAAAAGAAAGAAGGAATTTGGGGGGGGGGGGCGCTGGGGGTGGGGAGGAGGAAATGGATTAGATTGTGCAAATGTTCTCTGCAAAAAATGCAGATTTAAATGAGATTTCTTGTGAAATAGATTTTACCTCTGCATATTAAATTCATCCCATCTAAATTTGGGCTCTAACCTTACACCTCAAATACAAATGCACAAAAATAGAATTGGCACCTTCATTGTCACACTTCTATAACATAACTTGTTAAAAGGTGAAACCATCAGAGCTAGGGTGATTGTCCTTATTATAGAAAACAACCTTTTCAATTCACCCAAACATAAAAGCCTTTATACTAGCCTGGCAATAAAAAAAACTTGTCATTCTTCAACCCAATATTCTACCTTATTTCCTATTATAAAAATATAAGCAAAATACCTAAGAACTTCCTGAGAAAATATGTCCTACAAACCATCCCCTTCTATAAGGAGGTTGAGAGAAGTTAATATGTATCCCACCATTTGTTAGTGTATTAATATTTAATCTAACTAACTTAATATTAGCCTATAACCCATTTCTTCCAAATTCCACCTAAAATTAAGCCAGCCACTTTCAGGTTCTGAGTGATAAATAATTTCCACCAAAAGTTTGTTTTGCCATTCAGCTGAAATTCTAAAACATCTTCATTCCATGTTTCACGTCACACAATGTCAACACTTCCCATAAGACCCAAGCTCGGAAAATGCATGAGAAACAACAAAACGTGACCCCTTCTGACTCAGAACAATATCGACCTTGGATATTTTAATATTTTTTCTTTCTTTTCCTCCTCTGTAAAAGCATATAGGAAACTATAAACATTGAAATTTTCATGATAAATATATCAGTTCAAGACAACCAAAAGCCAAAACATATTTCCATCAAACTATAAATCAAAACCGAAATCAAATCAATGGTAAAAGAATTTAAACAACGATGAAACCAGATTAATTGTAATTATATCAACAAAAAGAGGGAAAAAAAAAAGTGATATTGGATCGAACTTTACGGACCTGATTGTAGAGGGTTGGATTCCATAGCGATGAGAAAATTAGAAACGCTTCTCGGAGAGAGGGAGAGAGGGAGAGAGAGAGACCAGAAAAAGGAGGGGGCAGAAGAAGAAAAAGGACGATAAAGTTACTATTGTACCCTTTGTATTGATGTACCATAATACAGTTTTGCCGTTTGTAATTGAGACTGCATAAGGCGTCCAATAATATGAGATGGGCCAAGATCAGCCCATTCAAGGCCCAAAAGATCTTCTTTGTGTGGGGAAAACCCGTTTAAACCGAGCTCAAGCCCAAACCGTCCCATTAAAGGCCCAATATAAATTTTTTCACTTTCTTAAAAAGCACCACCATTTAGTAAGAAGGTTTTTTAAATTATTGGTGTGGTGGGTCCAATAATTTTGTGTCTGGTTAGACATTCGAATTTTTGCATGCGAGGTCTAACAATATTATATTTTGTGAGGAAGCGGTGCCGTGAGAAAACAGGAATGAAGTAACGAATTTTGTATGTTCGGTACCTGCACTTTTTGAATACGTTTTTTAATATGTGTTCAACATTTTATATACGTATTCATAAGTAAAAATTAATTTTATTATTTTGAACACTTCTTAAATACTTTTTTGACATTTTTTGAACATTTTTAACCTAAGTCTACCCAATAATATTGAAAAAAATATAAATATTATCATAACAAGGTAGTAAAATAATGATATATATAATATAAAAAACATTACAAGAAAGACATAATTTAATTTTTTAATTCATTTCATAGCCACTATTAGTATAGAAATTATAAATGAAATGATATTACTGAATAAATGTATAAAAATAAAAACTTATATTCATATGTACCTCTGTTCACACCGTACTGTGTCCATATTTCTTGTCCATTAGTTCGGTAGAAATGATATAAAGAAATAAAGGAGAATAAAAATGATGACACATCCTTCCTCTTTTACAAATTTTCCATTATAGAAGTTTTAAATTAAATATTATTGTAAATTATACAAGTTCTTACAATTCTATTATTTATAAATTATAATATTATAAATACTATTGAATATAATAATAAAAACAATTAAAAATTTTTCTTTCCTTCCCTCTTAACTAACATTAGAAATTATTCCATCCGATATATCCATCTCTTCTTCTCTTCCTTCTATTCAATTTTTTTCTTTCCAACCAAACAAAGCAACAAATTTTTGGTTACATATCGCAACACAAATTTAGTTAATAAACAACATTAATCCACAGCTGGCAATCTCGCTCTATTAATTTAATAAACAACATTAATCCACAGTTGGCAATCTCGCTCTATTAATTTTATAAATTGAGGCTATATAAATACATATTATACATTTTTTTATTCCTTTACTAGTCACGTCTTGTTCCAAATATTCTTTTAAATAAAATAAAAAAATGTTGTTTCACCGTTGATTTTTTAATATAATTTGAAAATTAACTTGAAATTAATTTAAATATTAAATGAGTAATTGAGACCATTTGCGTAGACCAATGCAAATTTGTCTGTGCATAAACTGCAAATTTAAACGTAATAAAAGCAAATTAGGCCCACCGTTCCAAAGAAAAGTGATGGACCGAAATTGCTAAACATCCTATGAGATGAAGTGAAGCCAATAATCCTGGCTATATTCGGTAGGAAAGAAGAGAGATTGTGTATTTATTTATTTTTATTCGGCTGAATAAAAAAGAAGAAATTAATAATTTATTATGTTTATTAAAAAATAAAAAAATATAAAGTTTTAATTATTTTTATCATTATATCTAATAATATTTATAATGTTGTAATCTATAGATAATAGAATTATAATTTAAAAGTTGTATAATTTATGATAGTATTTAATTTAAAACTTATTTCCTCCTTTCTTCCGCAAAAAAATGGACGAATGAAAATTTGTAAAAGAGAATCTTTCTTATTTTCCTTTTTTTTCTCTTTTTTTTTTTTCCTCGTATCAATTCTACTTAACAAAGAAAGTTCGTTGTTTCTTTCTTATTTTCTCTCCACACCCATTCCTTACTTCCTTTCTTCATACCTACCGAATATAGCATAAAGAAAGATTATCCCACTAAAAAAAATCACAAAGTCAAAAAAAAAAAAAAGCCAAGCTAATTAAATTTGTGGTGGTTGATTTAAATTTGAGATTTTTTAATTTTTTTATTTATATAGCCCGGGACTAGATGGTGCTTAAAAAAAAAAAAAAACTAAATGATAGATAATTCGTAAAATTTGATATACTTAGTTATGTGTTAATTTGTAATTAGTGTAAAATTTTCTCGTGAGTTACTTTTCCTATTAGGCTCCGTTTGATTAGATGGAAATAAGTTATAAAAGAAAAGAAACAGAAAGTGAATGAAAAGAAAAAAGATTTCCTAGTATGCATTTAGTATGCATACAAAAACTATCTTTATGAATTAAAATGATAAATTAGTAAATTCAAATATATAATTATTTATATTTATTTATATTATTTATACTTAGAATAAGGCTTCATAATATTTTCTAGGTAAAACTAATTATTAGTTTAAGATAAACAAATAAAAAAAAATTAGAGACTTTTGTTTGGGAGAAAAATGAAATATTTCACCGTATAAAATATATATATATATATATCCATACCGGATTATGAATAGCTATAATTGCAACATAGAACAGAGGATTAAAAAAAATAAAAAATTCTATTTAGAAGCAAGATCTATTTTACCATGAATTTGGTTAGTATTAAAGTCTTTCGAGAAAGTTATGATAAAATATTTACTTATCAAAAAAAAAAAAAAAAGTTATGATAAAATATGATTTTATTAATTTGGGTACGATGAAAGTGAAAAAAATAATAATTCTACTTACCAAAATTACTTTTATGTCAATTAGAATTTTAGAAATAAATATTGTTCAATAGATGATAAAAAAAAAAAAGATTATAATAAAATAAGGCAAACTAATTTTTAAATGTTGGATTACACATAATTAGAGAGCAGAGGCTCAACTAAATATTAATATTTTTTTTTATTTTTTTTCTTTTATTTTTGAACCTTCACATTAGATACGTGGATTATATTAAAAAAGATACACCTATCCTATTTTATTGAAAGGAAACAAAAATTATTGCTTCATAAAAATAGTTGTAGAAAACTCACAAAGTCACAAAAGAGATAATTACCCAACAACAAATACAAACAAGTTAATTGGATAAAATAGGAAAGTCAAATAAAAGGGATTCCTTTCATAGAAAAATACTATTTTCTCGTGTTTTGTACGTGAAAATATTTTAAGACAAATAGACCGATGCGGGAAACTAGATTTTATCTTTCGTTTCTTTTTCCTTCTATCCAAACTCCAAAAAAGTTTAAAAATTTTCTCTTTCCTTTATTTTCTATTTGATTCCACTTAACCAAAGGAAGCCATATAGACTCTAAAGAGTCCAATTAGATGGAGAGTGAAAGTGAAAAAAAGTGAAATCAAATTTTCATCATGCATTTGGTTAACAGGAAATCTTTTTTTTTTTAAGAAAGTTGTAAGAAAATCTTATTTTGATAGTTTGGATAGCATGAAAAGGAAAAGAAATTGTTTCCACTTATGGAAAATATTCTTATATTTTTAAACAGTATAAAAATAAATAAATTTATGCTGAAGAAATACGGAGTAGTATTTATACTTAATTATTTATTTTAACAACAAATAGTGAAATATGGAATATAATAGGATGTTAAAATCAAAAAGAGAACGACATGTGAGTCCCACAGCCCCACATTTTAGGTTGGATTTTTTTGGACTGATGTTTCATTGATTGTTCACTCAAAAAGGGAACTCAAAAAGTATAATACTCTATTTTTTTTTTAAAAAGCATTTATTATTGTTGTTCAGGTATACAGTACAAATTTGCTCTGAGCGTGAGCATATATAAATATTCCCTTTGAAGCCCAAGTTGCTTAATTAAAAAAAAATTGATTTTCTACACGTTCCGTACCCATTTTGACCTTTTCCTCTCTCTCTCTCTCTCTCTCTCTCTCTCTCTAATAGTCTCTATAGTCTATCTACAATATTTATATATACATAATTTGCATATATAAATAAATATTCCCTTTGAAGCCCAAGTTGCTTAATTGGAAATTTTTTTATTTACTACAAGTTCCGTACTGATTCTGACCTCCTCTCTCTAATAATCTCTATCGTCTATCTACAATATATATACATAATTTGCATAACATGTTGCAATATTTTCGTTAATATATATATATATATACACACTTCCATTTGCCATATATATCTATCTACACAAATCCGCAATTGATTTTGTTTTCAGATTCGATTGAGTGATTGATTGGTTAATGGCTGCGAGTGCGAACCCTCTTGGAAATAATAACAATCAAGAAGGTTCAGGCAACGTAATTGACGCCGCCACGTCGTTAACTGAGAACGCGGTGGTGGGCCCCACTCAGGCGTCGCTCAGGCACAACCCCGGTATCTCCCTCGAATGGACTGTCGATGAGCAGTCTCTCATGGAGGATTTACTCGCCAAGTAGGTCACCTCTCCCTCTCTTTCCTTTCTTGTCTCTCCACCACTCTCTGTATATAAATTAATATTTGCATAATAGATATATGTAACGTGTACTTCTTGAACTTTCTTCGATGAACTGCGAATACTTGTGGACTCTCAATTGGTTTCTTGGGTTTTTTCTCTCCCTCATCCATATTTGATACATCATATTGATTTTCTTTACGTCCTCTGTGAACTCTGTTCACTCTCTGTGTGTATGGATTTGATTGAGGACTCTCTCATAGAGGATTTGCTCGCCAAGTTGGTCACTTCTCTCTCTGTTTAATTATAAATTAATATTTGCTATATATATATATATATATGCAAGTTGTACTTGTTGAACTTTCTTTCCTGAATTGTGAATTATTGTGGATGATTCTTTGAGACTCCATTGGAATTCATGGATTTTTCTCCCTCATCCATATTTCAAGCATTATCTTGATTTTCTTTATGTTTTTTTCGAACACTTTTCTATCTGTTTGTATGGAATTGAACATAAATCTCTTTCTGTTCGGAATAAGTGCAAATATCTTTGTTTTTTCTTTATTCTTTTCAGATTCTGTTAGGTAGGTTTACAATATCATCCCAATATCCCATGGTAATACATTCAATGTAAAAGATACATAGTGTGTGTATATATATGTGTAAGTATAACATGTGCTTTTGTGTTATTATTTTCTTATTATTATTTTTTTATTTGAGGAATGGAATATAAGTTGATTTTCTCAATATTGAGAAATTAATAAAATTATAAAATTACTACTGTAAGTTTGAACGAAGTCACAATAACCTTAATTCAAAAACCCTAAGTAACTAATGAGTATTAATTTTTGCTCTATTCTGTAGTAACTATGGGTACGGTTGGTTGTTTTAATTGCTTTTCCTCTTTTATAAACAATGCACGAATCTTGCATATCAATTTGATTCGGCAACATATCTTTTGCAGATATGCCTCTGATTCCAACTTAGTTAGGTATGCAAAAATTGCGATGCAGTTACCAGATAAGACAGTTCGAGATGTGGCACTGCGCTGTAGATGGATGACTGTAAGTTCTCCATTTCCTGTACCGAATGGTTGTTCAGATTATGTTCTTATTGGATTTTGTGAACCCTAAAAAGAAACAATTCAGAGTTTAAGAACTCAAACTTGCATTTCCGTCCAATAAAATGCCTACAGAACTGGACCATGTTATGATCACATCGACTTACTATCAAGATTTTGAGAATATTTTGTTCCGTCCACAACTCATATTAGCACTTCAGGATGCTAGGAGCCCTTGAAACTCATTTTAGGGTTGTCACGTTCATTGACTGAAAGCATTTTTGACTTATCTTAAATTATGGCAAACTTGATTTAAACTTTCTTTTCTTAATCCTTAAAGATTATACCGGTTTACTTGTTGAGTGAAGTCCAATTTTGCTGAGTTATTTAATTTGTCAAGGATAGAGAGTGAAACTGACAATTGCCTATACTCGCACGATCTGATGCTAAAGTGCGTTTTCCTTTGTCCTTGTTATATATGGACAGAATATTGGAATTTCACACAAACTTGGAATTCTCTCTCTTGGTAATCCTAACGTTTTTGGCAGGCTTCAAGTTCCAAGTCTCCAACCTAAAAATTCCAGAAAACAAGAACCCTCTTTTATGATGGGATGGCAATGCAATGTTAAACTTTGCAATTTTAAAAAAATGCGGACAAGCGAACATGCCTAATGCCTAGGATGCCCATGTTCTGAATTTTATATATTGCAAGCATATATCTTCAAATATTTAGGTATCTATGCGTTTGTAAAAGAATCATATGGAGGTAAAATGTATAACAACATAATAAGTTCATTTACACAAATGGCAAACAAGATTATTTATGTAAGATCTTATACTGCAATTTTCTTTTGTCTCCTCCATTACATGTATTAGATACTGTCCGCCTTGTTACATTGGTATTATGTGTTGATATCAAAGATTTGAATATGTAAACCTCATTTTTTCCGCTTGATTTTTTGTTTATTATTGAAAATAAATTCTCAGACTCACAGTTGTTTGACACTTTTTATGAAATATTTCTATCTCTTGGGATCTGAAACTGAAATATATTTGTCTACCTTTCACTTTCTACTCGTGACATCTGTCTTATTGTTGGGAAATGGTTATGGACTTTATTTTAAATGAACATTTATAAATTTATGCGTTTGGAACACATATATTTTTATTTCTTTTAAAGCTAAATTATGCAATAAAAAAATTCTGATATCTTGCGATTCTCAATTTTATTCATTACTTATTTTTTTAAATGATTGCTTTCAGATTGTGCATAGTGGTTCTGCTTCCTTGTGGCTGCGGCACAAATATATAGAAACTCAATTTTGTTTTATAGTTGGAGTTGTTCTTTTAGGTTGCAATTTGTTGTGATTGAGAAAGCTATGAGGGCTGTAAGTTTGTAAATTGCTTTCTACAAGTGCCGGAGTCTCAATGGGGAAACTGCGTATGGTTATGACTATAGCTAAGACATTAAACTCTTTGTTTATTACACAATGGATGATATGTTTCCAGTTCTTGAATGACCTAAGATTGCATCATAAGCAAAATTTGAAGCCTTAAAACTAGTAACTGACATGTGTGCCTATAAGAATGAATTTTATGAAGCTATTGGTTCTTCAAGGTTTAAAATTTATAAGGTTAGATACTTATCAATAAATCTATATAAAGAGAAGTAACGTTTGTCAGAGGTTTTTTAAAAGTTCTTTACATATTCATAGGAGTCGATATATATTTTTTTCATCTTGCCAACACAAAAATAGTGATGGCTAGATCAAGAAAGAAAACTAATAGAAAAAGCAACATGCACTTGTTATTGACATAATTATGTTGCACTCCTTTCTAACGGCTTGGGCTTTTAGAGTAGATGGTAATCTAACATGGTATTGTTGATCGATGGTCTACTCCGGAGGGGCCACACCTTAGGGGAGTATTGGACTGTATTATCATATACGTTGCACATCTCTCTAACAACTCAAGCTTTTGGAGTAAATGGTGATTTAGCACTTGTTATTCTTCTATATATGTCGGATATTTTTAGATAATTTGTTTGTGAGCGTTTTTTATTTTATTTTATTTAAGAATTGAACTTTCCCATGCTTATCTTAATAATTTTAACTTTCACTTTAGAATGCAATATAAGTGCTCAAGGGTTTTCAGATTTTGATAGCTTTATAAAGAAACAGAAAAAAACTAGAAAATTTATGCATCACACTTATTTGTTCTCTTGAGGGCATTGGTTGGGAGTTCGATTTTGATTTTGTTTATTGTTTTATTAGTTGATAATAGCTATTTTGGTGTAATCATAATTTTTCTTTTATTTTTTATTTTTTGGTTTTTCCAGAAAAAGGAAATTGGCAAGCGAAGGAAAGAGGATAACAACCCAACAAGGAAAAATAAAGACAAAAAGGTTTGCCTTACTAAAGGTGCATGCAATTGTTATATTTGCTTTGTTATGCATGTACAATTTTAAGAACAAGTTGTTGTGGCTTGGTGTTTTTCAAGTGCTTGTGTGGCCTTTAGACACTTTCAAGCGTCCTTGAAGTGCTAAGTCAACTTACCCGTTTAGCTAGCTTAGTAAAGACTAAAACTAGAGAGGTGAAGGAAGAGTGCAGTAGACAAGCAAGAGAGAGTTTGAGAGAATGTAGTGCTTGTCTTGCTTGGAGAATGCTTTGCAAGACTTGGTTGCTTGGTGAGGACTGAGGAGCAAATGAGCGCCCCCCCTATATATAGGCTAAGGGCCTTATAATGAATGATTAGGATATGTACAAGTGTCAACAATCCGACGGTTGGGAGTATTCTAGAATGCCCCAAAGAAATGTCTATGCAATGTTAGGCTACTCTACAGTGTTCTATACAAGCATGTACGACTATAGACAAGTATACACATCTCTAGAGAATTCCACACAAGTCCACACTTATGTAGAGAAGTCTAGAATGTTCCTGCTATGCAGTTGCAGACTACCGACGTCATCATCCTGCTGTGCTTCTATGTGGTATAACTTTGCACAGCGGGGCATGGCAAAGTGCATGCTTCAATATTGGAATGGGACAAAACATGGTATGTTACACTCTTTTATGTGGTACGATAGGTGCAGGTTTACGTAGTTCAAAGTTGGATTGGATTTATCTATTTCCAAGTGTGAGTTTTGCTGTGCGAAAGTGGTGTGAAAGGTTTGATCTCAAACAAAAAACCTAGAGGGGGGTGAACAGGTCTAGTTTGCTCTTTTGATTGATCTTTGAATTATTTTAATTTTACCAAATTAAAAATATATCAATCACTCAAAGCAGTAAATAAATTGTTTCAAAAATAGAGTAGAGTAGGAGATGACACTAGGATTTTTAACGTGGAAACTTCAGCATGGAAAAACCACAGTAACTGGCCATCGGGCGAAACAATCCGCTATGATAAGAAAGAGTGCAACGAGTTCCAGTGCCTTCAGAACTGCTCTCCACAAGAGTCTAATTCTTCAGAATCACCTGTTGTTGATTTACCTTCGACTCAGTGACCTCTTATCCTACTGCCTTCAGAACCATCAACACTTGTCCTCGTCAACACAATCACCTCACGATGATTCGCTTCCTCAAGTGATTGAACTCGTCTTCCTTTCACTCACTAAGTGAAGCTGTAGGAAAAATCCTTAACTTTGATCAACCAAGATGAGCTTTTGAAAGCTCTGTTATGGCGTTGATCAGATGAAAAAATCAGCCTAATGACAATAACGTGTAATAGTGTGTGCTTATATAATTAAAGAAAATCTCTCGATGATGATTTCTCTCTCAAAAACTCTATCAAAAGCTCTAACAATGAAAAGTAATCTCTCTCTCTCTTTCTCATGTTGAGCTGGAGAAAAAAGGAGTCTTTATAGACAAGAGAGACCAATTAAAAGTATAAAAAAGTGTTTTAAAACCTAATTGTACGTCTCAAGAAATTTGGTAGAAAAGGTTGTCAAAATCTTATCAAAAAGGGATAAATCTTGGAAATTTTCCCAACCAGTTGGACTTTGCAAGTCTTAGAAATTGAGATCTGTTGGATCGAAGGCGTTCGGGTCTTCACCCTGGGTAGGCAGGGTTGCCCGACTGCAATGAGGGCGTTGCGAGTTCGGGCTGGGGAGAATGTTACAATGGGGAACTTGTCCGACATCGGATCCTGATGGGGAAGTGATAGGGTATATATGGGTTGGCTGTTAGCTCCACCTAATAGTTTAAGCTTTTGGGTTGAACTGCGAAGCACCCGGCCCGTTACATTTGTCCTCATTATCCTTGCTTACATTTGGTTGTGCCCCATCGACCTATATTATCTTAGATAGGAGGTAGACTCATAGGATGTGATGGATGCTATTGCCTTCTGATGATGTCTAGTTGGAGGTCAGCTGTGACACATTTGTGCTGGCTCTTGAGCGTGATTATCCATGTGTCGTTCTCTGATTGGGCTGGTTGCTTTATCAACTCATGATAGGCCTGTCTAATTTAGCTATCCTAGTTATTTCATGTTCCTTGCATGGTTTACTGATGTCATCTAATATTTACATGATAGCTGAAGTCCGTTCTTCATGGCCAGTCATTATATAACTGGCCGTCTTTAGTCATCTGTTGCTTGTTCTTTATTTGTTTGGATTTTACTTGGGTAAGAAAAGTCTTACATCTTGGACGAATTGTCCTACCTTAACCACCTCTCTTCAGCCGTGCATATATCACGTTGACTTGGATGCATGTGGTCGGGTCGGATTGTCCATTGGGGTTGAGAGATTTTTCTTCAACTTGGGAGTTGGGCTGTCATTGGTTCAACTAATATCCAATAGTAGGTCATTCATAGGGCGTATAATCCAATTTTCATGTCAAATATTACTTCTCCACCTGCTTTCTTATGTTCTGGCCCACCTGCTCCAGTAAGGCTGCCCCTGGCACCTTCATCAGTGAATAGTTGAGGCAATATGTCCATATGGAATTCCTTTTGTTTTGTTCCATTTTCTAATCTCGAAAGGACATGTTATTGTATATGGATCGAGTGAATGTGGTGTCGTTTCTAAGTTCATAGTTTTTTATGTGATAGATGGTTTATAAGAGAAGCTGGCACTAGGGAGAACTGTGGGCTGCATTGGCCCCATGTAGGGCCTGTGAAGTTAACCTTGAGCAACTTAGCAGGAAGTTGCTGCAAATACTCTAGCATTACTCCCCATCATGCAATCAAGTTTTCTTCTATCGAATCGGTAAAGTTGTCAATTCCTTGATGCTATCATTAATAATAAAGTTGCCAACATGTACGTTGTAAGGATTCACAAGATAGTGTCTCAAAGTCGTCAACTCCAAAATTGTGTGTGTGCAATTGTTGCAAACTTCTTTCCAATGATCTCACCCAACAGCCTCCATGCTTGGAGGTGGAATAGCTAACTCCAGTTTCTTGTATTTATTTGGATTTATCATATTTTAATCAATTGGATTTTTTGACCCACAAATACGCTCACCATTGACACGAACCCCTATAAACTTTATTTTGATTTTTGTTTTGCAGGAAAAAGTTGCAGATCCTTTGGGAAAAGCCTCTCATGTTACAACCCATTCCAGTGGTCCTCCATATGCTCAATCAATGATCTCCATGGACAATGATGATGGCATCTCGTACAAAGGTTGGTGCACATTCTCATCTTCTAGTGAGACAGAAGCCAATGGAAATAAATGAGAGAAAATGCATGGTTGAACGCTTTTTCATTTATATGACAATTTCCGCTTCAATATATTGTGACTGTTCTATTTAGTGTTTTGAGAATTTATTTAAACTTGGCATAATTATATAGAAATATTATGTTTATGAGTTGTGAGGATGTAGAATGATGGTGGGTTAGGGTTTGTGTCACCTATCACAAATAATTGGAACAAGGCTTTATCAAGTTGGGGTATGAGGATAGAGTTCATGCGTATGCTTAGGCTTTCTATACTTATGTTGGAGGGAAATGTATATATCTTAGTTAGGTAACAATGGGAAATTTTGAAGGAGATGAAATGAATATAATGGAATGGGTAAACATAATATAGTATGGTGGTTCTCTATGTATGTACAAATTGGGTGTGGATGATAAGGAATATATGGAACATGTTACCACTATGAAATAGAATGTTGTGGAGAACTGGCATTGGGTTTTGTTGCTCTTGGATTTTGCAGAATTCACAATATGGCTGTTAAGGTGGTAGTTGAGGGGGGTTGATAAGCTGTTTATGTGATGACTGTAGTGTGTAACTGACTGAAAAACTCATTTTATTGAAATTAGCAATGGAGGAGGTTGACATTTGCTTAAAGTTGTGTCTTCAATTTTTTATTTTATAATGGAGTGGGATTACTAATGTGGTGGAGCCATATTATGAATATTTTTTTTGATAAGTAAAGCCATATTATGAATATGATTTGAAGTAATTACTTGTCCTTGAAGTTGCCAGAAGTCTGTTTGATGGGTTACCCACTTGGGGGGTTATGTTTGACAAAGTTTATATTAGTCTTCAAATCTCCAAAAGCTGCTAAGAAGTACGGAAAACTGAGACAGTAGACAGAAACATGCTACCGGCCGTTGTTTTGTATGTTCAGACCGGCATAGGGCTCCAATCAGACATTCTTCAGTTCTGGCTCTGTGAACCGGTATATAGGCCCCCTAGTTGGCGGCTGTTATGTTTGATTGTCCAATAACTCAATATGATGAGTTCCCCAATCTATCTAGTTTTGTGCAAGTATTAATCCATGAAGCATACTCTTTAGTTGGCCTGTAACTGTTTGCTTCCTTCATTGTTGGATCAATTGAATGATGCTGGTTCTGTTTGAGTGTGCAGTGGAAACAGTGTATGAATCAACATAAGCGGTAGGAAGGAGCCTATTGTTTCAAATTTTAGGCCCAAGGCAAATTCTGCAAATGATTCTTAATTGATATTTAATAAACTTATGTGATTAATATTAATTATTTCCTCTTTAGTTTTCTGTTTTAATTTTCTTTCATATTCCTTCTATTAAGTATCCCTTTTTGAGTGTATCTTTTGATTTCATGAAAATATATCACTTATATAGGCACACACTCTTACATCAATTGTAAGAAACCATTGTAATGGCCTTATAGTGGGACCCACATCAAAGAAATCACCTGGGCCTTCTTTTCCATGTTATGCTTTAGATGATCACCAATTAAGGTGGAGCCTACCCTGGCAGTACGTTGGGAAAATAGGTGTGTTTGACAATGGTTTTGTAGGTTATCTACACAACCACGCCCATAAACTTATGATACATGGACGACTATGAATGTGTGAAGTACCACACATGACACTTGGTTTTGGATATGTCCTGTGGTTGGATGTTTAATGGCAGGCATACCTGATAATTCAAGTATGCCGTCTAGTCGTCTATTTTACTTGATATTATCTTATTGTATTTCTTTTGTTATATTATTGCTTTAAAGTGAGTGCAGTGATGTTGAACTCTTGATGTTACATTGAAAGCCATTTTACTATAGATATGAACATTTTTTTGAGTCTCCATGTTCGGATTGTGGTTTTGATAACATGAAGATGATGAGCAGAAATTGTTACCTTCTAATCTTGATCTGAGAGATTAAAAGATGATTTAGACCTGCACACAAAATGTTGTGGTTTTTCTTCTCGTCGCCACTGCTGTCCTGTATCTATGCTGATTGGGCACTTCTCAAAGTACTCAATGCAAAGATCTGAATCCGCGCCCGAACCACCATTAAAGTTGCTGCTTCTAAAGCAGATTTGAACTTGGTTTTCTATCTCCTTAACCGATAAGTATGTAGTCACCAATTTACCATTCAAAATTTAAAGTGGATTCTTATTATTATTTTTTTTGTATTCTTTCTAGTTTCAAGGATTAACCACATAAATCACTTCTGTGCCTCCTTCGTGCCTCCAAAGAGCATTACCATGGCACCTTTAAATAAATTCTATACCCATGCGTTTTAACTCAAACTTCGATTATAAGAGCTTGTTGCCACCTACCATATAGTTTTCATTCCTGCACTGCAGATAGTTGAACTGTAGTGGAGTTAGCATATTCATCAATATCTGATGTAACATCATTCTGTGAATATTTAAATATTAAAGGAGGCATCTGCTAGGTTAAAAGGGTTCTGAGTATGAAGAGCATCTTTAAAGGATAGATGTGATACTGTCTGAGGATGTTCAGTATCCACAGGATTGATGCTGGAAGTTATGTTTATGGTCTATTGTGAATATGAGGTTTTTTTCTTGCAAAATCTTGGTAGTACTAGTAGGTTTCTGTTGGTTTTAAGGTTGGATGCAAGGTTTAAGCTGCAGATAAAGTTGGCATGATTTTTGTCTCTACGTTTGTCTAATTTGCAACTAGCAATCATACTTGTTTCTTGTTCTTTGTGCTTCATGCTAATTGTATGGTTATTGCTATTAGTTCTGAATTAAGATGCACTTTTGTCATTTCTAGTTTCTTTGTGATCCCAATGCTTTGTAATTACAAGAATGTTATATTTCTTATTTGCAGCCATTGGTGGTGCAACAGGACAGCTTCTTGAGCAAAATGCTCAGGCCTTGAATCAAATTTCTTCAAATTTTTCAGCTTTCAAGGTAAAGTTATACAATTTTTTTTTTCACTTGCCCAAACAAAAGTGGGGGGAAAAAAAAGAGAGAAAAAAGTTGCACAGCTTATTGCAAAAAATTGTGTTGATTATTAAACCCTTTTAATCATAAAGTTTTTGCTGCCTTATTTTTTGATGGACATGCAAGCTGTTTGAATATTCTATATTTCAATGACGTGTATAAATACAGTTGGAAGACCATATATGATGGAGCACAACATTTTTCTAGATAGTGCCCAAGTATAGTGTGTTTTACATACATTTGAGAGAATGACATTGAAATTTGTTAGTATTGATGGTATTTTAGGATTTCAAGATGAAATTATTATACATTTGTAATGCGGTGATGTCCATTATACATTGCAAAGTTGAAATTGAAACTTGTTAGTATTGGTGGTATTTTTGGATTGATGTGACATTGTGCTGGTGATGCGATGATGTCTTTATTATTCTCTAATAGTCAACCTTTGACCCCAGGAGATTTACCGGGAAAATCAGGGGATTTACCAGGAGATTTGAGAGAAGGTTTTCCTCCCTTGAACCCATTTCCTCCTTTCTCCGCCATTTACAACTGCTGAAAAAATCAAGATTCCAGTTTGATTCAGTGTTACGAAAACCCATCCAAGCGGAACCGCTATCTCATATAACACATGCATAGTTGATATTTGTGTGTGTGTGTGTGTATATATGCCCTTTTTTCTACTTCTGTGTTTAGCCCTTCCAGTGATTATTAACAATGAAAGTTAAACGGAAAAATAAAAAATAAAAATAAACACGAAATAAATAAATAACTATATATATATAATAAAGAAGAAAGAGACGAGGAAGAAGACTAGTAACCTGAACGGAATAGAGGGGGGTGTAAAAGGTGAGGAGTCCAGCAGCAGTTTTGATGATAAAAAGGGTGTATGAGAGGGAGGAGAAGGGGTCTATGACAGTTGTAAAAACCCTTCCTCCGAAAATTTTCTGGGGAACCAAACGCTTCCCACTTGGCACTCTGGCGTTTCCCAGTAACAGTCGCTTTGTTATTGTAAAGTGGTTACAATGACTAATATAGCCCTATAATGCCAGGAGACCCCAATTTCAAGCAGGGGGTCTTTATGTCTTTTCACAAAATAGTAGGTACATTGTCCCACCAGCACCTCATCAGTGGCATTTTGTTCAGTACAATTATGTTTAAATAAGCATGACGAAAAAAAAGCTTTTTAAAAAAGTTGAGTGTTCAACTGAAGTGGATATCACAGAGAGGAGTTTTAATTTCATGGACATCCAAACATGCCTGATGATTTTATATTCTACATTTTATTGCACTCATATTGATTTGGACAATGGATGATATTCCGTTGTGTTGATGGGATCAGATTTTTTTTTTTAGGCCTTTGGTGGAAAACCTGAATAGCGTTCAATCTTGTTGCCTCTGGCTATGTTACTTTTCTAAATGCTGAAGTACCTGTGTCACACACTCGGCTATGGGACATGTCCAACATGTTTGATTTGAGTTGCACCTAGCAAACATGTCTGACGACACATACTCGAATCCATGTAACATAGTTTTCTGGCACCAGGGATCTCTTATTTTGTGCCCATTCTGTGTAGGTCCACCCACCCACGCACATGGTGTTCTGCTGCCTAGTCAGCAAAGTACTCATTGTTGCACCGGAGCCAATTAATGACATTCATTGAATAATGCTGTCATTTAGATTGATTGAACTCTTTTGTAGACTATTTTAGTATCACACATAAGCAGTAATCTTAGGAGTGGATTATTCATAACAACATTTTCATTTTTATTCTCTTTTCTTGCAGATGCATGAGAACATCAGTCTCTTTTGCCAAGCTCGAAATAATATCCTCACAATCTTAAATGAGTATGTCTGAAGCTCTCTATGTTATTTAAATTTGTTGCTCCATCCTAGCAAGAACTTTCCTTTCTGGCTTGTATGCATATTTTTTGCTTGTCATGCTTGCATATGCATAAAGTTTAATTTTTGCATGCTCATATAGTGTCTTCTTTTTGCATAACCGTGACTGTTTAGTAAGTTCATTGTTTGTTCATCCTCACTGTCATCATGCAACTTTTGCCATACATTTATAGAAGACACTGTTTAGTAAGTTCATTGTTTGTTCATTTATACATTTAGTAAGTTCATTGTTTGTTCATCTTTGCCATTCTTTTTTGTTGAAAAAGAAAGTTCTTTTGGGACTTTGTGATGTAGCCATGGACCCAGGGGGAGATTTTATCAGACTAAGTTGCGTAGAATTTACTTTTCAATTTCTCCTGTTTTTGATAATTCATTCACCCTCTTGGTAAGGTGGCATCACTTTTGACATCTGATCAGAAGTTCCAATAAGTCAACATGGGAAAGATGGTTTTTAATAGAAATGAACGGAAAAAAGAGAATTCATGTGTGGCGGTAGTTAGCAAGAAAATTGTTATGAATGGCAGTAAGTTAGGTCTGTTAGAAATGTTAGGCATGTTGCTTTGTATCTTTTTAAGTGTTTTAATTGTGAATTGAATAACTTTTATCTTTTAAGAGATGAGCGATGACAGAATAAGTGGACGTGAAGTTTTTTGAAGAGAATGGAACAGAATTACATGAAAAGATAAAACAAGAGGTGAAAGTCGAGAAAGTCCTCTGAACCCCCTCCCTAATTAGAAATCTGAATGTTTTTTGTTAGTTTAGGGACACTTACGTCACATCAGCAAACAAATTTACAGTAATATATGAAATTTTAATCATAAGGTACTACCTCTTGTGCATCAAGAATATTAGGCCCATTTAAGTTTTCAATTAAAATGGAAGAATCGCCCTTTAACGCCCTCCAAGGGGTCTGTGATCTCAGCTCTAACAGCATGTACCCAAGTTGTAAGGTCAGAGTTGGAAATAAAATCAACTTTTCCTGCTAGCATTCCTCGAAATACTTTTGAGTATCTGATAGACTAGACAAAATGGCAGGAGGGAGCAACTTATGTACAAAAGTATACAGGAACAGTAAACTACTCTCTCTATGATCATAACAACAACAAAAACCACCAAGCCTTTTCCCAATTACTTCAGGCCGGCTACACGAATCCTGTGTTTCCATTCCGCTCTATTTATGGCCATAGCCTCAGTCAATCCACATGCACTCTCTTCATGATCATGTCATCTAAAAAAATCTAGAAAAGAGAAAGTATTGGAATTATTCAGACAACAAAAAATTTAAAATATTCAATATAGTTAATTTTTCCTTTATACTATGTGAACAAACACAGACGGTGGCCAAAATTATCGTGGGATGTAGTTACTATAAATGATTTTAAAAAGTTAAATATAATAGGTGAGATAATGCGTGATAGAAAAGAATGAGAAAAGGAGAATTCATGTGGCCGATCCATTCATATGGGATTGATGATGATGTTAATTTGAACAAACATCCTTACATCCTCAAAAGTATGCCTATCTCGCTTAATGCTCTTCTGCCAAGCCTGCTGGACTCTATTGCTAGGACTGCTTTCATCCCACAGCAAATAAGATCTCCCATGGTCTCATTCTTACGGGAGCTTTATGTTTATTTCTTATTTTCATTCTGCCCATGTTATATTTCAATCATTTTAACCTACTCTTGGTCTAGGCAGACAAGATATGTATAACAAACTAGATTTTGGTTGGACAATAGTTTACACTGCAACTGATTTCATAATGGCACAATCAGGCAGTAATTTCATGAAACAGGAATGTGATGTGTTTAAAAATTTAATAAGCTAATGATATAGATGAGTGAGAGCGAGATATAAGTAATCACATCCAACTTGAATTATTTGGCTTCGTTGGTGCATCAAGGCGTTTCAATATGACTAAAAAATAGGCTGTCTGCATGTAGAATACACATATATATATATGTGTCGACCAATATAAAAAAAATAAAAACCCTAAAGAAAACTTGGCAATTAAATTAGAAAGGTGAAGAAATGCCTTAGAATCATAAGGGTTGAGGGGTAGCAGGACTAAAACTGAATATATGGAATGCAAATTTTGTAAAGAGTAGGATATTAATGGTGTAATGGATACACTTCAAAATCAAATGATATCTTATTAAAAAAAGAAAAGGGAAAAAAGGATTATCCAAAGTGAACACTTTTGGTAATTAGGGTCATTAATACAAAAGGATGGTGATGTAACTAATAGGGTAGGCACAAGTTGGACAAAATGGAGGCAAGTTAGTGGTGTTTTGTTTAACAAATTAATTCCATATAAAATAAAAGGAAAATTTTATAGAACAGTTGTTAGGTCAACTATTTTATATGGCGCATAGTGTTGTTTTAAAAAGAAGCAAGAATAACGAATTCATGTAGCCGAAATAAGGATGTTCGGATGGATAATTGGAGTAACTAGAAAAGATGGGGTTTCAAACATAAATGTGAGGAGGGAGAAACTAGGTGTAGCACCTATTATTGACAAGAGTAGATGTGGGTGTTATAGACATATAAATAGAAGACCTATAGATGCACCGGTGAGAAAAGGGAGGATTATTTGCATAGATGGTAGGAGCAAAAGAGGGCGTCCAAAATTAACATGGAGTAAAATTATTAAAAAATATTTCAAAAAGTTAAATAATGGAGAATATATGGCATATAATTAAAAAGAAAAGAAAAAGAGAAATCATATGGCCGATCCCATTCGTATGAGGATCAAGGTGATGCTGACGACCAATATCAGGAAACAAACAATTTCATCCTGAGGTAAGAGAAAATTGATGAAAGGAAAAGCTTTTATATTTATATATTCTTCATTTTGCTGTTCTTTTTTATTTTGTTTTGGTGGGCCAGGGTTGGTGGGTATGAATGACAAATATAGTGTTTGAAAGAGTAATAGAAAGTTGTTGGTTTGTATGGGAAAAGGACATCTGCTCAACATTGTGTTTGTGAGATTGTCCACGCGATGAAACTAGGTCTTGTGTATTTTGAAGCGTTTGTTATTTCTAATATTTTCCTTTGAAGGGATTTAAAAAAATAAGAGAATAGAAAAGAGTGGAAAGGGTTAAGTGCGTTAATTTTCACTTCATTTTTGTGAGACGCATTATGATGGGTTACTGTTACAAAAGATAATTGAATTCTATGAAGAGTCTTTAAGGGTAAAATTCATTGTCCCTGTTGGGCCCAGACACAAAATAGCAGCCATCTCATGTTGCTTCTACAAGGTGTTGGGATAATATTGTATCATTGAATAGTGTCATATGTTTTTCCTACGTGTTGATGTGAATAAGTATTGCAGCTTGAATGACACACCGGAGATAATGAAGCAGATGCCACCCCTTCCAGTGAAGCTGAATGAAGAGCTTGCAAATTCAATCCTTCCCCGGTCATCCTAGCAGAAGAAATGATGGTGCCGCTGCTTTTATTATGTGACCTGAGCTCACTGATGCTTCTGATTCTTTCCATCAAGTTGTGACCTTTTTGTTATAATCTGAAAGCAGAATAAACTGGCTAGTCAAGTCCAATTCATTTTTCAATTTCAAAGGGGAACTTTGTTTCCAATTTCTTTGCGCGATGGTCTTGTTCCATTATTTTTTAAAATCTTTCTTTTCTTTACCTTATTTAGCTTTGTTGATTTTTTGTAAGTAGTTTTTGTAGTATGTAATGCTAAGAGTTGTGTAAGAAGTCTTCTTGACACTGTAAATAATTCAAGGAAAATTAGTTATAATATTAAGTAACATTACAAACTAAATGTTATACAATGTTTGGGTATGGAACATCCATATGGGTTTTATACAATGGTTGGGAAGTCGCTCTTTGCAATAGACATAAATGATCTATTTCTATACTCCTTTGTTTTTTTTCATGCAGATTTACAAAAGCACCTCACATTTGTGAAAACCTAATCAAAATGTTAGATTGTCTTCTCCTCTTGTCGGGCTTTGGCCTCGCCTTCGTTGTCCCACTGCAAAAGCTTTTTAAAAAAAGTTTACTGGAAAGTCGGTGTACGGATTCTATATTCACATCTCATTTTGATAATTTCTTTAAAGCAAGAGAGTCCATTTGACCTAGAAAGCGCTGGTTTAGGGTTTCAATCTCATTACCGGTAGCATTCTCGGTAGCTTGATCTGTGCTGGTGTCTTCAGGTACGATTCAAGCCCTAAAGCTCAAATAGCAAGTTCATTCAAATTTTGCTTCAACGTACAGGAAATTTTATTGTACCAAACAAGATAGCTGTAAATGGTTTCCGTAGTCCATGAAAAAATGGGACCGGGCTCGATTATAAACATTTAATTATCTTTATAATTCAACAATGGGCTCTCTTTTCTTTCTTCGATAATAAAAGGAGAAGACACCAGGTATATATAAATATATGGAAGATCAATCTTGTCGAACAGATTAAAACAAAAAAAAATTCTCAGCTCAACAATAATACACTGGCTCATTTCTATATTTCAGTATCAATAAACGCATTCGCTTTCACTCAACATATCAAGCTCTACCAAAACCAAAGAACTGTATATTTCAGTATCAATAAACGCATTCGCTTTCACTCAACATATCAAGCTCTACCAAAACCAAAGAACTGTATATTTCAGTATCAATAAACGCATTCGCTTTCACTCAACATATCAAGCTCTACCAAAACCAAAGAACTGCTATAGAAAGGGAGAAGAGTGGGAAAAAAGAATCAACATAAGACAATGATCACCTCATTCAATTGACGTAGAAGCATAGGATAGCCAACACCACTCTACACCAACCAGTCATTCCAATTTCCACATACCCCATACATCTCCACCATGAACATCAATTTACAGCAACGAGAGAGACCTTTGCCATTAAGGCATCTCAGCAGCTGCAGAAAGTGTCCTTTAACAGAAGACAGTCCATACAATGCAACAACAATTACATATGCATGATAACAACAGAGTAAAATATATCTGCTGGTATGGTCATGCATCCTTTCTGAACAAATGGTGCACTTTGCAAATGACGTACAGCTCGGAGTAAAAGAATCACCCACAGTATTCAAAAAAGCTCCTCTGAGTTGAATTTGTTCCAAGCCTCCTATTTTGACAAAATAAACTTCAAATGAGAGAAATCCTAAGAGACTGAACAAAAACTACAATTACAATACTGTAAATTATTCCTTTAAAAGAAAAATTATAATTGAACCCAAGGGAAAATAAAAACAATGAAAATTATGATCAACAAAATAAATTCAACTCAGTAAATGAAGAATAAAATAATGTCCAATGATATTGAAAGTTGAAACAAAATGCCCGACTACATCATTCTCTCACCTACCAAGATGAAACACCATTTTAGAAAATTCAGGTCGAGGATATTTAATTCTATAATAATGGAAGATTTGAAACCCTTTATCACAGTAAAACTAAAAATGCTATCAGTGCAAGGTTAAAGAATGAACCACAAAGGTAATAAAAAATTTAACATACACTGAAAGTAAAAACTACAAAGTGAATATTACTGCAAATTAAGGGAAAAGTATAAACGAAAAGCTAGGTATATCTCCTACAAAGTATCATTAATAAAAATGCTGACCAAGCTATGTAAATTGATCATTCTAATATCATTTAGAATTTGATGACTCCTCAACCAGTAACAAACCTAAAAAAAATGTTTAATAACAGCAAAACACTAAATTGGCAACGCATACGGATCAATAAGAATTCAGGTTGGTCAAATATTAATACAGGTACCTTAAGTAGATCAAACACCTTCTCAGCAACATATCTCTGTTGAAGATTGGCACCTTTTTGTTGCACCTTATCAGGATGGATGCACAAAGTTGCCTTTCTATAAACTTTCTTAACCGAGGCACCAGTAATCAAATCAGTCAAAGAAACAGGCTGCCAACCACATTCAGGCCAAAGCACCTACACATCATTTAACAAATAAAAGGGAGAAGTTAGAATGCCACAAATAATAGAGTATGAACCAGAAATTAACAGTTACTGAAATGCCACAAGATGTTGACAGCGTTTAGGTAAATAATTCAAGATTGGGAATGGAATTCAAATTATTATGCCATTACCAGGGATTAACCACAATTTCTAAAGGTTTCGGAGTTGCTAAATAAATTCATAGTGGGGACAGAAAACTCACAAATCATGCTTCCTGGAGAAGCAAGGTGAATAATTCAAGATTAGGAATGGAATTCAAATTATTATGCCATTACCAGAGATTAACCACAATTTTTAAAGGTTTCGGAGTTGTCATAATGGGGATAGAAAACTCACACATCATGCTTCCTAGAGAAGCAAGGTGCAATACTTATCTAAAAGTGCATCTAAAAGTGCATCGCTTCATTTGGATTTCATTATTATGATTCTAAGTTCCATTTAGTAAGAATATGATGGCAATCTCCAGTTAGGTTGCACATTAGATAGTGGCATTAATAGAATTAAAAGGCTATAATCTGTTTGGCTCTTTCTTAATTCTTGTCCAAATTACTACTAGGATCATCTATTCCTTGGGGCCAGATTACAATGTCAAACCATATATCTCAGAATCATTCTGACAGATATTGTGAACTCTTCAACCGGTCTAGCAAGATCTTGCAACTCTACCACACGGACCACACAAAATCAATGTAAGGAAACACAATCAAAACCACATTTTTTTACCAGATATTCTACTAGGTGGATACAGATTGCAACTCTGATATACAATAAACAAGGTACTTTGATGACATGTATGATGCAAAACCCATCAGCATGATTAGCTGTTTATAATGATTATGCCTCCGACAAGTATCTTGAACAAGAATGTCCTATGGGCTACGACTACCGTGATTAAAGAACTTTGTGTGCATTGTATAATAATGTCCCATTGAATGGTAAATGATAGAGAGATTTTCCGACAACTACCACAGCAGTTGAGGAACTTGGTGCCATTTATATTATTGAAAAGTTCAAACGACAAAGAGGAGTTGACAAGGTTAAAACACAAAACTGCAAATCTTGGCTCAATCATACAATAATGAGTCATTCATGGCAAAAGCTGCTTTCTAGTTTAAACATGGTGTAAAATGAACTTCACTAAGGACATTCAGTAATACATTGTGCGATTTTATGTTGCTTCAAGTTTCATGTTCCCCCCAAAAAACAAAACAAAAATAAGATAATTGTAAAGTTTTGCCGTTTCAGCATCAGCAATTTAAATGTAAAATAACACATGGTGGGAAAAACCACCAGCCTCAAGGACTTTAACTAACTGGCATTTTCTGATTGATGGGAAGGAAAGGGAAAAAAAGGATAGTGCGTGTTAGGAGAGAAGAAAGAAAATGAGAGGATAAATTAACCTCTCATTATTGTTTTGAAACAACTGGAGGGATAGTGGAAACTGATCTTCGTGTTTTTAAAGAAAGTTGAGAGAAAAGAAAGAAATGATGTCCTATTACACGAGTTGAGAGGGCAAACCAAAAATTCACTTGTTATAAGAAATAGGAACAAAATGGGCCAATTCTTTATTCTTTCCTTTCAAATCCTCCTGCTTTTGGAAGGACATCAACGTCAAATTTTAGGGATTAACATACCCCTCCTCCCTTCAATTTCTCTCCTTTCTAATTTTAAACCACAATGTTAGGAATTATGTCTCAAATTCTATTGTAATCAGGTTTCTATTTTAGAGTGTATTTTATATGGTAATTTCTTGTAGGGCAAGTCTTCGCCTCTACAGAATTGTAATCCTTATCCAACAAGGAATTGGGTTTAGGCCTCTATAAATAAATACCTAGGTTTTTTGTTGAGAGTTATGAGTTGAGAGAGATGTAACATGAGTTACGGGTTTGGTAGAGTGAACATTGATGGCGAGAGGGAGTCTTTTTTCTTTTCTTTTTTTTTTTTTTTTTGATAAGTAAAATTTTATTAAAAAGCGCTCAAAAGGGGAGCGATCCCAAGAGAACCACAAAAGGCCAAAAAGCCTCTAAGCCTTCAAGGAGGCCAAAAAAAAACCTCTAAGCCTTGTGGAGTACATGGAGAACTCGGTCAAGAGTTTGTGTGCACGGTCAGGTATGAGACGGACTTACATAGGCTCCGAGGGGGCAATCCCTGATTTTTTTAAATAAAAAAAAAATTTTAAAACAAGGAATTTTTTTTTTTTTTTTTTTTTGGTAATCACACATACATGCCTCCACCGAGACTCGAACCTCTGACCTCCCTTTGTGAAGTAGGAGCTTAGTACCGCTAGACCACTGGCCCGTTGGTAAGGAATTTTTTCATATTACAATTATATACCAATGAAATTCTAGTGTTGCCCCCCTCACCCACTTCCCTAGGTCCGGTGTTGGAAATTCTCTACTATTGTAAAATGTCTACATATATGGTGAATCTCTTCTCATTCGTAGACATAGCCCTGATTTTGGGTGAATCACGTATACATCTTGTGTTGTGGTTTGGAATTGTTTTTTTTCTTTTCTTCTTTTGCTTCCGTTGTGCCCCAACACACACATATGATAAAATCTCCCTACGTTCCTTACCTTTCAACTCCTAGAAAATCCACTAAAGAACAAATTCACCGTAGGGACCGAGTAGCCAAAAAATGTTCCACAAAAAAGGGACATTCTCTTACCATTTAAAAATGCTCCAGCGGAGTAAGTCCGGCCAATTGGTGGTTGCAAACCCCGAAGCAAGAGAGTTTCAAAGGAAAAAAGGCAAACTTATTAGAAGTTATTATATTTAAGTACATTGTAGGAGCAAGGTGGAACCACACTAAACTTAATTATGTTTTAAAGCATCTGTGTTATTAATAATTATTTCTTGGGTTATTGTGAAAATATTATGGGTTGTGTGGTCAAAAATAAGAAAAGGCCCCATGTCAGTGTAAAAAGAGCTACAAAACTCCATGTTAATGAAATGTGCTGACTTTAATTCCATGCTATTGTAAAAAGGGCTTCCAAACTCCATGTTTTTGCAATTTTTCCTCTAATATATCTAGAAATATAAATAGGAATGTAGTGAAGATTGAGAATTAAGGTGTGAAAAAGTGAACATTTTGCTACTTATAGAAATAATAAATAAATAAATAGTGAACATTTTACTATTCACCATGAGAAAGAAATTAGTGGAGATGAAGTCAATCAATGAGTCAAGGTAGGATGAGTTAGTTGGAGGGTTGCATTTGGAATATTGTGTTAGATGGAGGAGTGCATCCTGAATATTGTGTGATTGGTAAAAGTTTCATAAAATAATGATTAGATCAGTCATTCTTTATAAGAAGAATGTTGGACAACTAAAATACAACATATACACAAAGTGAGCACAACAAAAATGCAAATGTCGAGATTGATTTGCGGCAAGACAAGAAAGGGTAGAATTATAAATGAAATATATTCATGAGATGGAAGTAGCATCGCCAATTGGAGATAAAATGAAAGAAAACCGTTTAAGATGATTTGGACAAGGAAGACAACTAATTACATTAGTTAAGAAGAATGACATGGTCCACATTAAGGGTAATGCTAGGGGAAGGAGAACACCAAAATTAACATGAGTAGAGTTAGTGAAGAAAGATAAGATAACTTGTGGGTTAAATAAAGCCATAACCATAGGTCGAGCAAAATGAAAAAATATGATTCATGTAGCCAACCCCAAGTAGTTTGGAAATGTATTGCTTTTTGTTTTTATTTAAATCTAGAGTACTTTAACAATTTCTAGATTTTCTAAACACAGGCTTTAGTAGTAGTGCATGGTATAATGCAGGATAAAATTATGCTAGTGGATCCTAGTATAGAATAATCTTTATTAGGTTTAAAATGATGTATAGTAATAGTAAAAAAAAAAAAAAAAAATCTGTTTTTAAAAGCCAAGTCCTTATGGTAATAGGGAAAGCAAATCAAATTTATAAATATCTAGGTAATCTTTCTATTTAATGGACTTCATTTATAAAAGTTTGACATTGTGCAGTCTGGCGTACAACCGAACCTTAAACTGTGGAGTTGAGGAATTTTAGATGTGATTCCAGATCCTCGGCTTCAATTGCAGGTTATTGTTGTAAACCCTCAACAACTCATATATCATCCTTAAAACCTTATTGCATCAAATCCAATTCATCCCTAACCTTTTTCCTTACATTCAGGCTTCCAATTTAATACCCAAAACTTTAATAACTGCCAACCAGAATATTTCAGTTTCTAATACTCATACAACCTATCAATTCGAGAACCAAGACAATTCCAATTTGGTTGCATCTACAGCACTAAAGCTTTATTCTACCACCTAATACCCTATCCTACTTGCCATAAAACCAATTGTAGGCAGCATTATACTAGGTTTGATAAATGTTGCCCAGTGTATTGCTTTACTTATTTATTTTTTCACATAAGATAATAACTGAAACTACCCAAAGAAATTTTTTTATAAGTGGCTTCCTTATGCTCTTAACATCTCATCTTGTGATTTGGCAGAAAGCGTCCAATAAGCTTACCGAAATTTATTTTAATTTGTATCTATATGCCCCTAATAATGACAAGCTTCAAACCAAGTGTTGTATGATTCAATGAAACTTAATCCACATTAACAGTTTGCAACTTATAACATCAATTGCCTATTTGTTTTAAATAAATAAAACAGGAAATGAGCGGAACACGGACAAACTAGACCAGGACATCAAAAAAAAAAGTAAAGTAGAATAAAATTAAAAATGAAAAGATAAAGCTACAACCAAATGGAAGAAGATTAATATTCACAATCGGGGCGGGGGGGACAAGTGTTCGAATATAGAGCCTATACTTAGCTAAAATCATAGAAGTTCTAATAACATGCAAAAAAATATGCACAAGATAAAGAAACAAACACACATATTGCAATGTCGATAGCAATGCACGCAAATTTCCCTCTTTCCCTGCAGCCCAACGCTTGATCTCAACATCTAACGTTTCAGCAATCCTCTGAAACCAGTGCAGCAGAGGATCAGACAGATGAAATGATATGAATTAATGTCAAGCAAATTTTAATTCAGTAAAAGGCCAAACCCACAAAAAAATTAAAATAAAATAATTTGATGAATACGAGAAGATTGAAAGAAAAAAAACAATAATAATAATATGCATAACAGATTTATGAGAAAGGATCATAAGCAAATACTTCCAGCGTGATACAACCAGCATTCTTATGCTACATTGCCATTTGCTTTTGAAGTTTAATAGAAAGAAAAACATAAAATCGACAGGAGGACTAATCTAAAGTCGATCAAGTTTTAAATTGATTCCTTAGGTACCTCTATCCAATTTAAGAATTACCAATTTATGCACTTGATATACAAGTATATGTGTCTGCATATTAGTTTGTTTGTTTGTTTGTTTTTTTTTAGTTTGTTAATAATACAAACCCCAGATCACTTGTCTGCATATTAGTTTGTCAGTTATGTCAAATTAATGAAATTTAAAATAGATGTAATTTAAAAAGCACGAACAATTTGAAAAGTCATTTCCGTGTCAAAATCTAAGTTTTCCTCAAATAGTCCAAGACACATGTCCGACATATGTTTAACATGTCCATAATTCAAAAAAAAAATTTGTAAATTTCGGACACTTCTTGGGCCACATGTAACTAAATGAACTTTGGAAGTCAAACTTTCTTTTAGAATACGAAAAAAAGGAAAAACAATAGAGATACTTGTACAAAAAGAATCAAGATAAAGGTTTATACACTTATCAAAAAAAAAAAGACAAAGGTTTATATAAAAATTATAAGAAGTTTGACCATATTTAAAAACAATAGATACAGCAAGGTGTATCAGTGTAGAAGTGGAGTTGCCAAAATATGTATATACATTTATAAAACAGAGGACAAACCAAGACCCATAGTTGTGTCCTTCAATCTTGGTTTGTCTTTTTCCATTCAACATAGGCGATTAACTATTTTAATTTCTATATTCTAAGTTTCATGTTACAAATACAAAATAATAGATTTACTAAACAAGTTTGTTGGATATATAATATAATTTCATACAAAAATTATACTTTTTGTTTGTGTCCTACTTCTTTAAAAACTCGTAGTGTCATAATGTCCATATTGTGCCATTTCCTAGGAAGCACGGATACACCTAAAAGGACAAAGAATCCGTGTTGGACACCAATGTGCGTTGGACACACCTTGAGATGTCTCCAACAGGCAAAAAAAAGCATCTGAATTTAGTTTTTTTTTTTTTTTTTTTTTTTTTTTTTTTTTAATATTTGGACACAGCGCAGACATGCATCAGATATGTCCCATTCTTGGTTTATTTATTTATTTGATAAGGCACTCTTGGAAATTTTTAAAAAAGTTTTAGAGAAAAAAGCTTGGTTGAAGTGTAAATATGAGTTGTTTAATAACTTTCAGTAATACGATGGTCATTACATAATTACTTAAAAAAAGTTGTTTTGTAAACAATTTGATATTAAAACAATCAGATATTTATACTTATGTTTTTGTTCAAATGTTCAAACTCTTGCACGATCATCTTTGACTGTCTCTTGTTCTCCCAAACCTGTTGGTGGATGGTCTCTCTCTCCTCTTTTCTCTCTTCTTTTCGTCCTCCTCTTTCCTTTCTTCTTCTTCTTCTTCTTCATCACCAACCCTAGATACCTTTTTTTTTTTTTTTCCTTTCACTACAAAATTCTTGTCACTTTTTACTATTTCCTCTTGTTTCCATGAACTTTTTCTCTTATATAGATTCTTACCTTTATTTTTAACCAAACCTTAATTCTTTTCTAACAAAACCCTAAATCTCTTTGTTTTTTTTCTCTTTCTTAACCCTCTTTCTATCATTCTTTCTATATCGCAGTAAAACACAATTTATTATTATTTATTATTATTAGGTTGATAAAAATAACAATTCTCTTAATTTTCTAGAGTACAACACACACACACACACACATATATAATGTGTTTATTATTCATCATGTCCCCTTCATGTCTGTGTCCTCATTTTTTTAGGATTTGCCGTGTCGCTATATCCATGTCATGTTGTATCCATGTCCTGTATTCCTTTCCGTGCTTCTTAGATCATTTCTATGTCTTATGTCTGGGTCCATACTTCTTAGGATGTATAAATGATTTGGCATGTCAATAGGCTGACCAAATCTAATATACCTTCAACCCCAATTGTTGTCATCCGACACGGGTACTTCACACATTCAAAAGATTCTACATAACATAGGTTCTTGCTGAGTTTGAAGGGGCAAGGGAAGGAGAGGAAGATGTGTGGAATTTTCTTCTTTTCTGATAAGTAAGATGCAAGAAGTGACCCAGAATTTTAAGGTAAAGAAGTTAAGGATTAGCACATTTTTATCGATTGATATATGGATACAATTTTAACCTGCTTCAAAGGTGAAATAGAAAAGGAAAAACATGCACAAATTGTATGACATGCTGAAGACACTTACATGTCTTTCTTCTTGGTCCCTCTGGGTTTGAAGGTCACGTTGATTCTTTTCTGCAAGTGCTTTAGCCTGAGCATTAAACTGAACAATTAAAAACAGGAAAACCAGACTGCGTGCACTTAAACCGCTAAAAGCAATTTTGTAATAGAAATCACATACTGCACGTTCCTGGGTCCTCTGGTGGCGTTCCAGTCTAGCTCTTCTTCTTTCTTCACTTTCCCCTTCAACGTCCGGGAATTCGCCAGATGATGGAGCAGCTTTTGCAAGCAAACATAGTTCAGCCAATTATTAAGCAAATTGAGTGAGAAAGCTTGGGAGGAGAAACGAAAATAATACCATTTTACAAATGAAACAATGATGCTACCTCCAAAAATTGAAGTAAGATCATCAACAATATTAGTAGCAGAAGATGCTTTCCTCATGTTGGACGAGACTCCACCAGATGGCGTTCTCCTTGCCCCTTCAGGCCCTCCCCTGCTTTGCATTTGGGGACTCAACACAGGGTCCTAAAATTGTGGATCAAAGAACATACGAAATGTAGAGAATGAACAACACAACTTCTATATTGAACAGAAACTCAAAATATATGCTGCAGATCTCACAGCATTGGGTACTCACAGAAGAATTTGCCCTTGGCCTTGGTGCACTACTTGGTCGAGAACCCGTGCTAAAGAAAGATTCAAGATCATTATCATTTTTCTTTTGATTCACCCGTGAAGCTTTTTCTCTAGCCTCTGCAGCGGCTCTTTGTCGAGCCTCAGCAGCCGCCCTTTCCACAGCAGCTCGTTCTGCTCTTCGTCTTGCTTCGGCTTCAGCCCTTGCAACAGCAGCTTTCTCCTGCACTTCTTTTTCCCTTGCTTCAGCATTTGCCCTTTCCCTAGCTTCTGCAGCAGCCTTTTCTGCTCTTTCTCTTGCCTCTGTTGCTGCCCTCTCACGGGCTTCAGCCTGTGCTCTCTGAACTGCAGCCCTTTCGGCACGTTCTCTAGCCTGAGCATTTGCCTTCTCAACAGCAGCCCTTTCAACTTTTAGGCGAGCTTCAGCAGCTGCTCTTTCACGTGCTTCCCTAGTTGCCCTTTCAACAGCTTGTCTGGCCTTCTCTCTCTCCCTCTCCCTATCAAGTCTCCTCTGTTCTCTCTCTTCCTCCTCACTTTCTCTCTGTTGCCGCTCAGAATCTAATCTCTCCTGGTTTTCTCTAAATTCTCTATCCTGAGCATCTTGCATATCTTGTTCCTCTTTTTCCAGCTGCACAGCTTCTTTGCTTCTAGCAGCCTTTGCATACTCCCTTTCCCTTGCTTCCTTAGCATGCCTGAATTTAGTCTCAGCTCTATCCATAGCCTCCTTCATAGCAGCAGCAGATGCAGCAGCAGCAGAGTTCACATTCACTTCATCACTAGAATAAACTTCAGCAGGTTCATCAACATTTTGTTTCCTACCCATGGCAAAATCCTCAAGTTCATCTATTTGAGACACCACTGGACTCTTTGCCGTTGGACAGACAGGTTTAGGACTCTGGGAGTACTGAGTAAAAATCGGGGAATAAGAGAACTCATTGCCCTTCTTTGTTGTAAAGGAACCTGTTTCTGACTTTGAAGTCCGGGGTGGTCTCGGAGGAGGGGGTCTTGAAGGTGGTGGAGCACTTGTGGGTTGCGTAATCAGAGAAATCTCTAATACAGTGAGCCATATATCATCAGATGCTTCCGCATGTTCTTGTGATTTAGGAGACATATCTGCCTGGAAACTAGTCACATTAGAACCAAATTTTCCAGATGAAGGAGAAGATGCAGTTTGACCAACAGGTTCCCGAGAATCTGGTGAGGCAGTTGGAATGTCAAACAGGGTATGATGAGATTCTTGAAAACTGTGAACAGGTATCTTCTTCTGTGAGTGGTTCTCAGAATTTCTAAAAGAAGATTTTCCAATTGTTTCCTCATCATAAATTTGTGTTCCTCTCATGCCCAATCCTGTTCTTGAAGGACTTCCATCCTTCTTCCTGTTGTTCATCTCGGATGAAAATGAAGGCACTGATTTGCCAAAACTATTTAAGGGATTTATATCATCAAATACTTCTCCACTAACAGAAGATTTATTCACTTTTGTGTTCCCAGAGTTACTAAGCTTACTAATCTCTTCCAATGGATCAGTAAACAACCCAGGTGATGAAACCACGGGGGTTGAAGTTGATTCCAAAACTACAAAGGGGTCTTCTATCACAGTAGAAGCTGTTTGGTTTGAACTCACAGTAGGTTTTTGGGCTTCACTCGACTCTGAAATTGGCCTGAACAGTAAGAGACATGGAGCTGAGATATTAAATTAATAATGATACCATATGTTGCAGTGACTATATAGATGAAAGGATAGCCTAAGATACAAACATGACTAGCCAGGAAAAATATTAAGAGAAATAGCAAGAAAACCATAAGTCTAAGAGCCTGCTTGGCATTGCTTTTCAACCACTTAAAAGCGCTATTAATTTAAAAAATTGCGTTTAGACGTGTTTGGTGATGAAAAAAAAAAAAACACTTTTAGGAAGTAGAGATTTAGTCAAAAAAGCACTTTTTCATGAAGCTACAAATTGGAGCATTCTAGGTAGAGGTATAATATTTTAGGTAACTATTTTTTTTTTTGGACAATCTAATCCTTCTTTATTTTTTATAAATGCAATAACCCCTGTACTAGAAGGGTCAAAAATGATTATATAAATAAACGTGTTTAGTCTAGGAATCTTGTCACCAATCACTTTGCATCAAAAACCATATGCGTAGACATGCATATTCAATTACTAAAAAATCCTATATCAAATACAAATTAATTGATCATTAAATAATTTGAATTTTAGTATTTTACTGCTAAATACAATTACTATATAATAAACAAAAAATGTGATAATAAAGAAGAAATTCAAAACAACTTAATCTTCAAATAATTAACCAATAAAATTTCACAATAATTGATATTTGGTAATGCACAAGTTTATTAGTATATGGGTAATATAGTAAAATTGGTACTAAAAGTACTTTAAGCAACATTGTTACCAAACAAATTTAGAAGTGCAAGTATAAAAAGTGCTTTAAAAAATGCATTACCAAACGCTTGACATGTTTTTGTTTTTTCTACTGACTATAGTTTTACGATAGGTCTACTGATAAAAGAGCTTCCACCATTACAACAACACCAAATGGCCTCTAACTGTCTTACATGCCAAATAAGATTAAAAATATATATATACTTATATGTTTTTTAATAATTTATTTTCTTTTTCCATTTATTTGCCTTGTATTTTCACTTTGTTCACTGTTCAAGGGAATGAAAGTAAGATAAATCATCTACATAGAAATGTTCAGAAAATTATTTCACATGCCAAAAGTCCAAGCAAGCCAGCTAATCCATTAAAACTCGATATGCCCCAATTTAACATAATTTCACATTGTTCCTTTACATAAAGTGGCAATAAATACATATAGCCAAGTGATATCATGGAACGAAGGTGATTAAATTCTAGGGATGCAGGGAAGCAGCAACATAAGGAAAGCACTAAGGTGTAACTTGGATAAGAGTGAAGATATAGAGTAAAATGGTGAAAGAAAAAGGTCTTCTAATTACTTCTAAAAAGGTCTTCTCAAACTATTTCAATTCCAACTCAACTTGCAAGTATCTAGTGACAATGCAGAAGCCAATTTAATCTCATAAATTTCATGTTAATCATTAGTTCTTGGCAAAAGTCCGGAAAACTATATTGAATTGACGCTTTTAACACGAGAAATTTATAATAAATACAGAACCTTCTGGGGAAGAAAAGTGAGCATTACTATAGATGATAGACACTTCTCCAACGCTGGATGAAGAAGCATGTAGAATTGGAACCCAGAAGTTGTAATCCCAGAAAGAGCATTTTGTAATTTCTTCAAAGTATTAGCATAACTTATTCAATGTATTGGGAATAAAATGATTTATGAATTCATGCAAAAAAAAAAGATTTGTGCATGAGTCACAAGTGCAACTTCACATGAAAGGTACCAATCAAATTTGCCCACCAAATTTTCTTCTTCTTTTTTCTTTTCTTTTTTTCCTGGCTAGAGTGGAATATTTATTGATATGAACAATATAGTATAAGAAGACACAAGGGCATACCCTTGGAAGATAACACCTCAAAAAGGAGGAGAACAAAAGTTTCAAAGCTAGCCAAAGCCAAAAGAAACAAACAGGAACCACAGCCAAAACACCAAATTTTCATTGACCACCAAAATCAAATTGCTTTAGCAATATGTCAGATTTTTCTTATTAAAAAGCAAGCTTATAGAGGATCTTTGAACATTTTGAAGTTTGAGCATGTAAAGTATCTCTGAAATATTCTACAGTTCCATTGGAAGTATATTTTTTCCCCCTTACTTTCTTCAGTGATGATTCCTTTATCCCTAAACTTGTAAAATGATTCGCCTGAATTAAAAAAATAACAAATGTTACTTTCAATCACAATCTTCTAACCCTTATCTCATGATTATAAGATCACCCATAGAGATCCTACTTTCAAAATCAACCCCACTTTTAGCAATATTTACTCAGTAAGTTCAATAGTCATATTATACTTCTCACTATAGTAAAAAAATTTGGAGACATATTTGCTTTGTCGGGTTCATGTTAGTAGCAGAATTTGAAAAGCAGATCATTGCCATATTCAGAACTTTGGAAGACAGGTTTAGAGCATGCAGGTAAAGATAAGGTAGACAATCATTAAAGTGAACATTTTGGATCGAACAGTAATAATCCCAATGAATTACAACACAACTGTACACCAAATCCAAGGAGTTTAAGAATGTAACACCATTTAAAAATTTTAATTTAGAAAAATGTATGTGCCTTAAGGAAGTGTAATTATAGTTATGTAGTGTACTAGGGTCTAGAATCCATTAACTTCAAATGCTCAGTATCTCCTATGCTTATAAATGTTCTAATTCGTTTATCACAAACAAAACTCACAGATGATTTAACATACACACTACAAAAACACATTTCATGAAACTACATTTGCACATTCAAGTTTATTTATTTATTTTTTTCAATTATATTTACTTTACTCTATTTTATAGAGTAATATAGATACACATATACACACACTGACACACCTGCTCAATTATGAAACGATTAAGCCTTAATTGTGCCCTTCTCCACTAAATGCACTAAATAAGCCCCAAAAAAAAATTAAAAAATAAATAATAAAAAACAAAAATCAATAGTTGATGCCGCCTTACCAAGAGGAGACGATCAATTGGTTTTCACAGCAATATTGAAACAAAAAAAAAAAATTGATGCCAGAGAAAGGAGAATTGCAAAGCAAACTTTTAGTTGCTGCAAAAATGATTTCTTCAACTAGTACTCAAACCCTAGCAATTAAAGGATTTATATGAGTTTCTTCCATAAAATATAAATTAAAAACCAAAAAGGAAAGTTGCTGATAATTCGAAATAAATCAAAACTTGGCTTTAAAAAATTGGTTCTCCTTGCCCTTCCTCCACTTCTTTCCTTTTCGGGTGTTCCCAATGTTTTAGGAAATCTTCACAGCTACATCAATCATACCCAAGACACTATATAAATAGTATGTAATATCACTCGTCACAAACAGTTGAATATATATATAACAGATTCACAGAAAATGTATAAGCAGGCATTTGAACATGCAAAGCAGTTGAACTCAAGAGCCAAATCCAATACAGTACCTGTTACTAGCAGTGGGACTGCTACCACCAAAACCAGGTATCAAATCATTCAAACCTCTTGAACTCATATTACCCTTCGATTCTGCCTTCTCGGTCCGGCCCAAATTCCCAAGAAGATCGTCAAAGTGATCCCTTTGATTCGGAGTCGAAGAAATGTTCGAGAACACGTCGTCCTCATACCTAGTAGAAGAAGACGCCGATTTACTCTTTAACCCGGGCAAACCAGCAAAAATGTCAACGTCCTCGTCGTAAACAGGCTTGTCATAAACCGGCCCTGAAGAAGCCGACTTGTTCTTCGACTCATTCGCTGACGATGAGCTCTTGAAGATTGAATCGTAATCAAAATCCGACGATGCTGATGACGATTTAGTTCTGGTAGTATTAGTAGTAGTGGTGGTGTATTTGGGAGGGCCACCGAAGACATCAGTGAATAACAAACCGTCTCGATTGTGATCGTTGATGCTGAACGACGACGATACCCGAGCTCGGCGATCTCCACCGTCCGATCCGACGGCCGTGTTAGCTTTGGTGGAAGCCATAGGGGCCGATTTGCCTTGGGGACTGAACCCGTAGTCTCTGGCTAACGTTCCAAAGTCATCCATTGATGCCTTCTTTATTTTCTTGTATTCAAATTATAATAACGGTGGATCAGATCTGAGTGAAATTGCCGTTCGTAGTGGGTCAATCGGAGAGTTAAAGATAACCCATCTTTGTTACATATAACTATATCTATATATAGAAGAATAAATTGGGAGATTCAGTGGAGGTAAGGTCTTTGAAATACATTTGTGTGTGTATATATATAGATATGTGTATGAATCTATACAAGAAAAGGCGAGAGAGGAGGCGAATAATCTTTGATTAGGGCATTGCAGCGACGGACTGCTGCGCTGTTTCTCTCTCTTTCTTACTCTTCTTGTTCTTCTTCGACCTTCTTCTCTCCCGGGCTCGTTCGCTGGGCTCTCCATTTTTGTTTGTTTATTGATTTTGATTTATTTCCATAAAGCTCCGGATATTGATGAAATTGTATTCAAACCTTAATACTTTTTATAATTTTGATTATGCCCTTTAACAGCAACCTTTGTTATCAATGTTGGCATTTTCTCTCCCTTGCTAAATGTACGTGTAAGGCACGTGTGTTTTCTTTTATTTATATGTAGTCTATGTTTTGAAAATGAAAAGGCTTCATATTGGGAGATGCAAAATTGAACTTGAATTTTATTTTTATTTTTTTTAAAACACCAACAAGCAAAATACATTCAAGAACAAAGAAAAATCAGTTACGGAGAAGAGTATTCAACAACCACTGGGGTCATATGCTCCCTTCATTCGACTACAAGAGCCTTTTTGCTCAACAGATGAGTCACAAGGTTTTCCTTTCAAAGAACCCAAGAAAAGGAAGAGCCCACACAGACATTAAGGAGAGATATTACATCATTGAAGATAACCATTAAATCTTCCACAGAAGCCTTCAAATTCATAATTGATTGGCAGTCTCCTTCCACTACCACATTTCTATTCCCCCAATTTTTAAGAAGAAACAGAGATTCCCGAAGCATAAGACCTTCAACAATAGTAGGACGACTGACATTCTCAAGAAAAATTGAGGCAATCTCGATGGGGTGGCCAAGGTGGTTTCGAAGAATCAGACCTCCACCACAAGACTTCTTAACTGAGTTGAAATCAGCATAAAAGTTGAGCATGAGAGAACTTATCCCTGGCGCCATCCACACCGCAGGGGAAAAAAAAAAAGTAGGAGGAGAAAATGGTGGATATAACAATTGATTTTGTCTATTAAACTCCTAAAAATCAATGAAAGCTTTTTGGGCAACCTAGAAAGGATCCCAATGCTTGTGTTTAAAAATTAGATCATTTCTACATTTCCAAATCCTCCAACAAAGGAAGGCTGCCAAACTCAAACTATCATTCGCAGCATCAGACAAGATAAGCTCGTTACAGAGATCAAACCACCGCTTAGGCCAAAATGATGAGGATTGACCACTAAAATCCCTTCTAAGAGGACTAAGCTTCTAAACCATACAAGCGAAAGGGCAGGAGCAGAAGGTGAGATACCCCTCGGATCCGAGACACGGGTTGATCAGGCCCAGGCCCAAACCCGAGGGAATATCAAACAATTAATATTTTATAATGAACACGGAATACAAAAAAAATTAAGAAATGAAATTAAAGCTGGAAGGAACTAAAAATAAAATCCGCAATATATTATAATTATTAAAATCCATCAAATCCAAACTCCAAAACTCCATCAGTTTACAACTTGGGAATCCATCTCTAGTGGACCCCTATTAAACATCCAAACGGAAGATAGAACAACTGTAATAAACGTCCAGAAATAAAACTATAAATAGAGCCCTACATCGTCGGAAGAGTGAATAGAGACCTCTGCTCAGCACGAACACGTCTAAGCCTGGAACTGTCGTGTACCTGAAAAATAAAAGTGGGTCAAGCCCACGCGCAAGTTCTATACTATTACAATTCAAACAGAGGTCCGATACGCATGTACATCCTAAACAACTCAACAATAACTAATAGTCCGTAAATATATATATATATAGTCACACTAAAGGACTCTCACTGGACTACAGGCCGGTCTCAACCTAAATAGAGGTAACATGATAAAACGCACACGAAGTGGGCATATGTACCTATACCTAAACAGGGTACACCTCTAACCATTGTAGCCAGCTACACATCCCGATGCATATACGCTCCCTAACCATCGGTCCTGAGGCTCAAGCTCATACCGAGGCACCATAACAGTAAATATATAAAATCCATCCAAAATCCCTGGTATTGCCGCTCAACAAGTAGTTGCCATGACAATACAAATCCACGGGACTTAACTTTTAGTTAATCCCATCCTTATTCCAAGTAGGTGGGTAATGGTATTGTTTTAAAAACCAAACCCATCCTTAGTATGCCACCGTCCCATACCGGTGTCTACTTTCCAATCCTCCAGTAGTCAATAATACCAATAAATCAAGTATATATCAACTAAATTTCAACATCCAACATTCAATGTTAGCAGTGATAAAATAAGCATTGATAAATAGGGTCACAACAACAACATATACATGCCCAATTTAAGTTGTTCCCTTTAGTCTGATATAAAGACAGAATTAATTAAAACTTCCATTTAACACTTTACAAATGACATACAAATATGTAGGGTATATATCACAAAATCCTAACCTCCACAGTTGATACTAATTGTGATAATGTAAGCATCATAACAATATTCACAGTATGTATGTAGACATGCTCAAATTATAGTATTCCACAAAACCGATCTAGTGTTAAACTCAAATCCTCCTAGTATTTAAGTTCCAACAGTTGCTATTACAGAAGTTAAGATAGCTATCATCTAGACCCATCCTTCCAATAATTTATACTAGCAGTGGTAAGGAAAAGCGTGAACCACAGAACCACAATGCATCCACAAACATGCTTAGTCTAGGTTGAACAAGCATACAACACTACTGTAACTACCAGTTTCATAGCAAAACAGATATCATTTTAGTTTGGTTTAATCTTCATTAATCCCGAAATCATTTAAGAGTGCAAAGAGTATGAAGCCTAAGGGAAAGAGTAAGGATAGAATCTTGCCTCAGAAACTTTTGTTCAAAGTTTCAACGTCGTCTTCTTAAAAAATCCCGGCGAGTTCCAAAACCAGGTTACTGTTCACGGGTACGAAACACTATTCTCGAACTCAAAATCTGATCTCCACCGTTCAGATTGTGCAACATTGAGTCATGAACCTATCCTCTAAATTTCAGCTCGATCGGACCACAGACGAAGCGGGATCGGATGTTTGATGAAATCTGGGCAGAATGGAAAAAAACCTGTGCGACCCGGTTACTGTTCATGAGTACGAATCACTGTTCCCGAGGTCAAACTCTGATCTTCACCGTTCAGATTGTGCGTCACTGAGTCATGAACCTCTCCTCCAAATTTCAGCTCGATTGGACCACGGACGAAGCAGGATCGGATGTTTGATCAAACCTTGGCAGAATGTGAAAAACTGTGTTTTTCCTTCTCCACTTCCACAAAACGTGTGCTTTGTTTAAAAAAAAACCTACACAGACGTCTACCTTATTACTTATAGAGTTTTCTTAAACCCTAGGTTCATTTAAGTCCAATTCACAATCCTAACCGGCCCATCCAATTAACGTAAAAACCTACGACGGCTATAATATAAAACCCTAATTTATACTGTAATTAAAACCCTAGTTAGATGTATTTACCTAATTACCCTATTCACCATTAAATACTTAACAAATAATCTAATGGAATAAAATAATAATTAGTAAACCCAATTAAACTAAATAAGACACACATAGAATAATTAAACCAATTACACTTAAACCATTAATGCCAATTAAATAATTAAAACACTAACAAGTAATTCCAATCAAATAACTAAAAATAAATATCATTTAAATAAATTAAATCACCACAAAAGAAAACAATTAAGCATCTAATAAAAAAAATAATGACACATAATCAAATAAAATGCACTTAAATAATAAATTAAATACCATTAAATACCAGGAATATCTTTTTTAAAATTAGGGGTATTACATTCTTCCCCCCTAACAAAAGGAATTCCGTCATCGGAATTCACTCTTACCTTCTTCCAATATTTCAGGAAACTGTGAGCGAATGACATCCTTTCATTCCCAAGTGGACTCAGACTCATTGTGATGACTCCACTGAACACGAATCAAAGGAATAACCTTATTACGAAGAATCTGATCTCGTCGGTCGATAATACAACACGGTGGCTCTATATAAGTTGCATCTGGCTGCAACGCAATCTCCCCAACATCGATATGCTGATACCGATTCTTATCTCGAAGAAATTTCCGCAACATGGAAACATGAAACACGTTGTGGACGCGATCCAAAGTATTCGGAAGTGCCAACCGATAAGCAACAGCTCCAATGCGATCCGTAATCATGAATGGACCAATAAATCGCGGTGACAACTTCCCTTTCTTCCCAAAGCGCATAACACCCTTCATAGGAGACACTTTGAGTAGAACCTGATCCCCAACCTGAAACTCCAAAGCCCAAGTACGACGATCAGCATAGCTCTTCTGCCTACTTTGGGCAGTACGCATGCGATCTCGAATAAGAGCAATCTTTTCAGAGGTATCCTTGATGAACTCAGGACCTAAAAATCGATTCTCTCCAACCTCCATCCAACAAACAGGTGACCGACACGGTCGACCGTACAATGCCTCAAATGGTGCCATACCAATAGTCTTCTGGAAACTATTGTTATAAGCAAACTCCACAAGTGGCAAATATTCCTCCCAGTGGCCCTTGAAATCTAGAACGCACGACCGAAGCATATCTTCCATAATCTGATTCACCCTCTCAGTCTGTCCGTCAGTCTGAGGATGATAAGCAGTACTAAGGTGTAACTCCGTACCTAAAGCCTGCTAAAAACTCTTCCAAAATCCAGATACAAAGCTCGAATCCCTGTCCAATATAATAGACAATGGAATGCCATGTAGCTTCACAATTTCTGAAATGTAAAGCCTCGCCAACTGCTCCGAAGTGTAGTCAGTACAAATAGGCAAGAAATGAGCTGACTTGGTTAACCTATCCACAATGACCCATATGGAATTATGCCCCTTGAAAGAATTTGGCAACCCTTCCACAAAATCCATAGATATGCTCTCCCATTTCCACTCCGAAATTGGTAGTGGCTGTAGAGCTCCTGGCGGCCTCTGATGATCAATCTTAACCATCTGACAAGTACTACATTAAGAAACAAAAAGAGCAATGTCCCTCTTCATACCTGCCCACCAAAACTGCCGCTTCATATCTTGATACATCTTATCGCCTCCTGGATGAACAGAGAACTCAGAGTGATGAGTCTCAGCCATCACATCCTTCCTCAAATTATCAGTATAAGGTACCATTAACCGTCCCTTGTGTCTTAAACCTCCATTAG